GAAAATGTCGTTCGAATCTTAAAATTCCTGCGACAATCAATTCTTATTTGATCGAGCCCTCGCGAAATTTCGAATAATAAAATTTTGGTCGTCTTCCAAAAATGCGAAGGTGTGTTTGGACAAGAAAAATTTGCATAATTGAAGCATGTGATTATCCACATGACAGTGTGTCCAATTATAGAGCGATGTCACGTTATTGTTTTCTAGAAAATGACGTTTGGTCGCGCGCGATTTTCATTTTGTAAGGCTTCTCGACAATTATGAATATAATTTTACGTAATCACGCGGTGAGCTTTGCGACCCGCTTCTGTTTAATTCGAGATAAAAGGTTTAATTTGCTAAAAATAGGCATTTTTGGTAAGCGTCCAAGAGGCTTTATTTCGACGCACCATTTTAGCTTTGTTTAGCGGCTTGGTGACATTAACACTAAGACGGGAGGGCCGATCCCGACCATCTATGGGTATCCGAAAAACCGAGCAGCGCCCTATTTTTACTTTGCTCGCATTTATGGATTGGGCGTGCTCGAATATAGCTTCTACGCAAATACTGGAACTGTTAGATAACAAATTTGATCGTAAACAAATTGTAGATCTAATCGTCCTTAGTTTTGCATTGTTGCTCAAAACTTTTGTGGTCCTTTGAGCCGCATATTCATCAATATAGAACGCTTTCCTAGGGCGGTATCAGTTTTGGGGTTCAAAAAGGAAAAACCAATGACGCCGTAAAATAGAAAATAATGTAGGGCCTAATATTGAACCTTGTGGCACGTCCATAGAAAACAGTTGCATATTTTTAATAAGTCATAAGTACCCGAATTAAGGGCGCGCCATTTTGCTTTAGTAAAAATTTTACAAAACCGAAGACCTAGATCAAACCGTGGATCTGTGATGGTGCACGAGGAAAAGAAGAAACAAATTTAATACCTTTTGTTGACATTTTGATTTGTTACACCTTGTATAATCATTATTTCGTTTAAACCATCTCGTACTTCGTTTGATAAAAAATAATCTACTCTGTACAAGTTTAAAAATTGTTTACTTTGTTTATTTGTCTAGACAAGCTATCTCGCATTGACCCCTACGTGTGATTTCCTGTAAATTATTTATTTAAGTGCTGATAACATTTAATTTGCATGGGGTGATCAATTTTTTTCATTTTTGTTACCCTTTTGTCACAATAAGATTGGAAGGGACGAATTTGTTATAGTGCGGAAACGGTATGGAACAAGCTCTTCCTCGATGAAGATGAGGTCTTTCGGATTTGTCGATTGCCAAATACTCTCATGGTCTGCAAAAAGATGCAAGATGCTCGCATTCGGAAACCAGACTTTTAATCTGGCTCATATTCAATAACACTGATCCGAGCACTGATCCTTGAACCTCGTAGAAATCGATCGGGGAAGGTTTCTGTCTCTTTTCGTTCTCGAGTTGGGCGAGGAACCAATGGACAAAACCATCATATAAGGGGATTTTTTTCTTTCGAAAAATTCCCCTATAAATCGATTGTTTTCGCTCACAATTTTAAATTTTTACCGTTTATGGTGCTTGTATATTCTATACGTTTGTTGCATTTTGATTCTTGATTAGCCAAAAATTTGCTCAGTTTTGACGACCATTTTGGACTATAGGGACCCAAAATCTTGGTCTAAACTCCAATGTGATTGAGGAAACCGTTGAATGCAAAGAAAATTTGCCCTGTTAACAGACATGGTTCTTTTTTTAAGGCATATAATAAATTTATTTAACTTGGGGCCATTTATGTGTACGTGTAAAAAAATAGATAGCGCATGCGCAGACCCAACTTTCTTTTTTTGGACAGATTTTTTTTAAGCTTGCAGGTAGTGTGCTTCCTATGCACAGTTATATACAGGGTGAAAATGTTTGGAACACTCAATCGATCTTCAAAACAACATTTTTTTAATAGACGCTTTTGATGGTATCCAAAATTATAAAACAATTGCTACCAATCTACGTACTTTGAATTTGAGGTCAGTGGCGTACCTCTGCACGGTCAAAGGGGGGCATACTTTTTTTAAATAGCAACCACCAATTTTCATTGCATATTCTTAAAGATTACACTTTTTTGGGTGTAGCAGCATAAAAAACCTATATTACATAATCAAATTAAAAAGAAAAACTCAAATTAAGGAAAATAGTTGAGTTTATAATTTTCCTAGTCTGATCATGTTTTTTTTATTTTATGTTATTTATGATATTTAAAAAAAAGTATTTCTTTAAGAATATGTAGTAAAAACTAGGGGTTATAATTAAAAAATATAAGCCCCCTTTGACCACACAGACAACAAATTTAAAGTACGTAGATTGGATACCGTAAAAGGCTTCTTAAACAAATAAAATATGTTGTTTTGAAGTGCATATCAGGGCCATAAGATAAGTTAAGGTACAATTTATTGAATGAAAGACATATTTAAGAAATTTCTGGTATACTGGGTTTTTTAGAAGAAGGCTTCTGAGATGTCACATTCAACATTGGACAAATTTTACATTTTTCAAGAAATTTGTCCGATCAGGGCGTTGTGCGCGGGTGCACCATCCTGTTGAAACCAACCAGAAGTGATCCTTGGGGCACTCCACGTTTTACAATTTGACTGAGGGAATGTTGATGTTGACTTGTGTTCTGTTTTGTGGATAGGACGATATTTAATTTGAAGTTGAGCCATGGAAACCAGTGTTCCATTTTCGCAAGAAATATATATCGCGGCTCATAGAGTCGAACACTGTTCACACAGAAGCCAAATTGTTCTTCAGCAAAATTATTGTTGTGGTTGAAGAATTGTCCAAGGGCCGTTTTTTCATCCTCTGTCGGACCATAAATAAAAGACAAAATTTTCTGTGTAGCACAAATACCACCAATACACCTGCGAATACACGTTCTGCCTAAAAACTTTTCAGCTCTTTCTTTCATGTCTAAGAATACCAAATTTGGTTCTAATCGGTTCAGCCGCTTCGCAGGAAGTGAGAGTACAGACAGACTGACATCATCGAGATTTTGTTTGATTCGGATTCCTGGTGATTCAAGACGTGTATTTCCGTCATAGAAGTGGGGCGGGTTTACCCCAATGCAATAGCACCCTTACTAATGTGCGGGTGGTAAAAATAGGTAGCACTGAAGTAGGGCGGGGTTCTTCCTTATAAAAGTGAATTGGAAACATGTCAAAAAAATAGATTGCGCATGCGAAGAACCACTTGCGTATTTGAAATTTGAATTGATGAATCTTACAAAAGCGGATTGAAAACACACTTCAAACGTACCCCAAATGGGTTTCAGATTGCGATATAGATAAAAGAAATATAGATAATTAAAATAAATCATATGGCATCACCTAAAAAGAAACATGTTAAACAAATAAGGAATCCTATGAAAATAACTTTACCTCGAAAAGATTCAACAGTTCCCCATTCGCGTAAATACGTTTGGATATATATTTTAGATAATTTCAGCTTGATGCCTCTGGTTTTCTAACATGAAATGATGATTCTAACAAAAGCGGATTGAAAACACACTTCAAAAAATCTGCAGTCAACTAGGACTTTTCTGAAATGTTAACAGAAGTGGTTTTTTTAGTAGCGGTTTGTCACAGCACAGCTCCTGGCCTAAAACTGGGCGTTGTTTTTACGTTGGCCAAAATTGAGTGGTCGGTAGATTCAGTTGTTTCAGTTTTTACTAATTCAAAAATCAAGTGCAATGCATCGCGAGTGCTTCTTTAAAGCAACAAATTGCTAAATTACTCGCCAGAAATGTAAATTTTATATTTGCGCATGCGTTAAATCATGCTTGTAAAGGCAAAGGTTTTGGTGACACAGAAAATGTTACACCCTGTACTCGAATTTTTGAAACTTATAGTATAAAAAGTATGCATAGTTTCAGTTAAACGCCGCTTACAGAACGACATCGACTGCGACTTGCTTCGGGTTCAAAAATTTTGACAGAGATTTTTCTGGCAACCACTAGATGGTCTCAAAAATTATCTAGTTTAAAGTCACTAGATATAGAAAGTACCGCAATCATCCGCCATTTTTGGGCAAATTTGCTGCCAACTTTAAAAAATTGACAAATAAAATCTGAATAGCTGTAATTTTTTATAACCTAACTTCATAGTACTGTCATGTTTTATAAAAATTTAACAGATATCTCCAAACAGGTGGAACAATCCCTAACATTAAAGTTACCAGAATCTGGTAACTTCCGCCATTTTTGGGCAAAAATCATGCGTTCTCTCTCTAACACACGAGCCCAATGGATTGTCGTACTTTCTATATTTAGTGACTAATCTAGTTAGGGGATGTGCTACAGGATGTTCTAAATGTATCTATGCAAAATAGTTGACTCAATGACATTTTTGTTCATTGTAAAATACATGCAATGCGTTCTATTTTCAACAAAGCTTATCCTGTTATTTTTCCATATTTCTGCAATTTCCCCATATCACTAATAGAGTGAATTTTAGAATGTTCAAAAATGGACGACTACACATGCAAAAGGTGTATAGCGGTAGCGTGTTCAAAAAAAACGCGGAACGGTAAGCGGTATCGACCTCCTCGTAGATCATTCATCAATTAATCTAGCGCTAATTACAAATAACCTTCAGTCTCATCTATACACTGTAGTCTAGTTGGAATTCCCGTTAGAAAGTTTCTCCACTGATAAGAATTGTTTTAAAAATAACCTTCACTAGGTCACTTTTTCCAAGCATTAATGCTCGACAACAGTAGGTAATTTCAATTTTAAAGCAGGGACATGAATTGATCCTAAACGATTGGTATTCTTACGTAATCTTTGTAATTTTATTGTCTTCAAACACGCGAGGGTAATGGGCAATCAATCTTAATTTACCGCCAGGAATTTTCCTCAACGCTAGACGTCCCTTATCTCTTCCCCCCCGTTTTAATTATACCCACCCAGCAATGTATCAAAATAGACTTATCACTTTACAGCTTGTAAATTGTGAGATTAAGCCAATCAAACTTTTTCTATTGCAGTATATCAATTCCAAGAAAATTTGCTGAAAACGATGCTGCAGATCGAGGACACCTACTTCGCGCTGGCGAACACGTGCAGCCGAAATTGTCTAATCATATGCGATCGGGGTGCGATGGATCCTTCGGCTTGTAAGTCTCAAGTTTGGACGAACGCGCGGTACCAGTCGCTAACCGATTTTTTTTTCGTTTAGTCGTATCGAAGGAGACGTGGGAACGGATGATGCGTGAGAATAACTGGAACAATGTGGAACTGAGAGACAATAGGTACAATCAGATAGTTCATATGGTTACAGCAGCTAGAGGCGCGGAAGATTTCTATTCGACTGAGGTACGTTACGTGTTTGGTTTTTGAATTGTGGGACCTTCCCAAACTCAAAATGTACATGTTAGTGAATTGTCTGGGAAAACTGAAGGTTTTTAGTAGGACGCAATAAGGTCAAGCTCAAGGGTTACTCATTATAAGGTGGTTAATGGCTGCGCCTGGAGACAATCGGTTCACTGGCCTACTGTTACTTTTGACAGGAATTTTCCCAAACAAACAAAACACTAGTCGATAAAACAAAGTGCTACTTTGAGTTGCCTAAAGTCACTAGATATAGAAGTACCGCAATCATCCGCCATTTTTGGGCAAATTTGCTGCCAACTTAAAAAAATTGACAAATAGGTAAAATCTGAATAGCTGTAATTTTTTATAACCTAACTTCATAGTACTGTCATGTTTTATAAAAATATATACAGATATCTCCAAACAGGTGGAACAATCCCTAACATTAAACTTACTAGAATCTGGTAACTTCCGCCATTTTTGGCAAAAATCATGCGTTCTCTCTCTAACACACGAGCCCAATAGATTGCGGTACTTGCTATATTTAGTGACTTTAGAGTTGCCTTTCAGCAGCGTGCGTGTAGCTACTGCGAGGTAGTCCAACCTTATTGACACCAGCCTTTGGTTAGGGTTGTGGTCTGCCGACGAACTTGCTGAATTGACAAATGACACCTACATGGGGCAGCCATGATGTGCACTCATTTGGCGCGAAATTCAAATCAACTAATAAGCATTAACCTCACGTTTTCTAAACAAATTACTGTGACACATGTCATTTTCCAAGGCTGCAATAGTCTCAAAAACTTGCGCACTAGGAAAATTCCCCTAGAAAATAACTAAAACGTGCACATCATGGCCGCGCCCATGCTAGCGCCATTTCTACCTCTATGCAACTGTTTGATCAGCAGTCCAGTCCAGTTCGTGGGTCTGCCCTTCTTCGTTTACGATTGGGTCGGTGTTGAGTCAACTAACCTCGCCCTCCCGTCTTAAGCGAAATTCCGGCCACAGTAGTGTGTTGTCGCCACTTCAAGTAACTCAACCACCAGGATCCGTTGGCCGCCTCACGCTGTACAAAGACAAGGGTGTTGTCTTTAGTCTGGATACTCACTTGGGGCGGTCACACCGGTTCGAGCCTAGCAGTACACGCCCCTTTGATCATTGAACCACTCAAGCCCCACAACCATGACAAGGCTTAAAGAATAATTTCGGTATTTTGCTGGATTGCTGTTTTAGTAGCAGATCTGCGGGCGTGTACAACGTTCTTTTGTACTACTACGAGGGGGGCGGTTTGGGGCGTTCAGCAGTAATTGCGTAAGTGACCTCTGGTGCCGCTCGGAAAACATAAACAACTTACCTTGACACTGCCCTGGGGACTCCACCAACGATTTAGTGAAGTTTGTAGAAAACCAACAATGGATGGTAATGTCGCGAGGGGGGGGGGGTGGTTTTGCAGGAATGTAAGAAGACTATTATCAGTGTCGGGGTACTTAAAAGTCATTCAAAAGTAACTGACTTATGATTAAACGACTAGAGGGGGCGGTAGCTATTTCTTTGTTCCATAAGGGGACGATGCTTCAGAAAAGCTTGGGAATCCATGGTCTCTGGAAAGACGCAAAAATGCACTTGCTATGACTTCCAAGGGTTTTTCAAAGTCTTCCTCTATGCATATGCCTTTTTCAGAACGTGGATTTCAGAGCGTTCTTGTGCAAAACTGTCTAGACGATTTCCACATTCTTCCAGAGTGTTTTGATGCTTTCCCGAGATATCTGAGTCTTTTTCAGAAATAGACAAACGTAGAACATTCTGGGAATAGACAGGGAACTCTGGAAATGCTCTTAAAAGTGGTAGAAGAGTTATAAAATGGTTTGGAGAACATCTAAGAGGTTCTGGAACCCATTTATCTTTTTTAGCACGAGAAACTTCAAAGCTTTTTTCAAAAATTCCTAGGTCCATTCTGGACTACGCGAGTCTAGAGTGATCTAAAAAGGCAGATCTTATTTATCAGTGCTTTTGAGAGAAACACCAACTTTTTTGCAGATTGATCAAGCACCTTTCTGATTGACCAATCCCCTTCCAGACGTTCTAGGCTTTCAAAGCTATCTAGATTAGTTTCACGGTTTTATATGCCCTATGGATAGGTGGGGGGGGGGGGACTTTTTGCAGCTTCATAAGTTGAGCATGCTCTGAGAAGTGCCTATGACGATTCTGGAATGCAAGAAACTTTAATTTTTCAGTCTCCCCTAAATCTTTCCGCTATTTTGTAGGTTGTTGGGTTATAGCCTCTTTCCGTTGTATCCTCACATAGTCTTGGAAAGGGTTTGAAAGCTCAGCAATGAACTTAAAACGTTCTCAAGTTACACAAGAGTACTTTTCGGTGCATGAGAAAATTTAAAGGCCTTTCAAAGGGTTCTAGCGTTTTTTCTGATCACTTTAACAAGTCTGAAACGCATGTAGGCATTTTTCTAATGAAAAAAAAGAACTACTACTTCCTTCTCCCAAATCCATCCGTTATAATTTTGTGTCGCAATCTGTGAAAGATTTTGGAGCATGGGCGGAGTTTATTGCTCATTAAATGGCAAATTGGCCTATCGTACTGCACCAAAGTTGTTTGCTGAGTAATTTGCGTTATATATAAACAAAATGTTTATAACAATAATAATTTTTTAATAATCTAAAATAATAGTTATTGATCATACAAGACGATAAAGGGATGTTTTAACCATCGAGTGAAAAATGTTAATTCACGATTGACAAAGTGAATTAGCTTTTTATAGAAGAAGCCATACAACTTCTACGTCCAAAATAGCAAGGTTCTCTTTTCGTTTCCATGGAAATAATAATGTATTCTGTTTCGAATTTCATTTTATTTCGTGCTCTGCATCCCATTTTGAATAAGAGTGACAGATGTCATTATAATGCACAATCATCTGTTTCACTTTATCTGCTCGTACTCATTCAAACCTATTAAAATCTAATAATAATGGGTGATTTTCTTCGTTTTTTAGGATCACGCCTGTCGTTCCGAGGGCGTCGACTCCGCGCGCGAGTTGGACCAACACGCCGCCGCCGCCTGGGTCGGCCACCCCTACTTTGATGTGATAGACAATTCGACCGATTTTGAAGGGAAGATGAGGCGCATGATCGGTTCCGTATGTCAAAGATTGGGCATTGATACCGGGGATCGACTGCTCACCAACTCGAGGAAACTCAAATTTTTGGTTGGCGGACCGTTACCGGAGGACTCGATATTTCCGTCCTTTCAGGACTTTGAAGTCGTCCACAACTACCTGCAGTCGGAGCCGCCGAACCAAGTGCGTCTACGGAAAAGGGGACAGGCAGGTAGGAAGATACACCGAATTCGTTACCTGTAATTGAGATTGGAAGAAATAAGAAATATATTGAAGTGTTGAGCTTGTGTATTTCATTTTCTTTACTAATCCCGCAACTTTTACATTAACAATCCTATTAATATTTGTAGGTCACTTCAGTTATATACATACTGTAAGGCGGCCATTGAAATTGGGACAGGTCGTTGAAGTTAAAACTCAACTAACTCACCGCGACTATATCAATCTTCTGGCACAGAAAGACAGTTCACACTTTACGATTTACAAGAAAAGGAGATGCTTTCTCGTTAACAATCAATATTTCCAACTCGACATTTATCAATCGCCCAGCCATCCCAGGTAACTATTGCAAATGCGACTTAGTCCAGACTTACCGCAATGTACCAACAGGTGTAAGGGTTTGATGTTACTCGAGACTTACACAGCCTTAAACGAGAGCATTTTGTGCGAACGCTTACCAGTATTTTTGAAGATCGAAAAGGAGGTTACCGGAAATCCGCATTATTCTATGTTTAACTTATCACTACGTGAAGATTGGAAGAATTCGAAAAAATTCTGCGGCTCAATCGCAGGTAAGTAAATCCACGTGACCATTAAGATCGCTCCGCCACTAACAGTAAAAGAATTCTTTACATATTGGTTGCTTATACAAACAGCAGCAAATTAACAACAAAGTTAGTGGAGTTTACTGGACCCACCCCAACAAAATTTGAGCTTGAGTACTTACCAAAAGATAGCAGTGTGAGATTAACAATTATCAAAATAGACCCACCACTTAAAATTGTTTTTTTCCTACAATTGTTGCTAATTATAAACGTGAGAGGAGCAGAGGACTGTGGATCCATGCAGGTTTTACGTATTAGTATGCATAAATAATTATTTCTCAAATAATTATGTGAAATTATTCCTTATACAATTGAGAAAAAAAAACAGAATTTGTTGCTAACTACAAATAATAACAAAAAAATAAGAGGAGGGGTGATGAACAAATTTGTCCTTTTCTTGTACTTACTTTTTTTTCCTTTAATTTACTGCTGTTCATCATTAGCAATAATACTATTTTTTTCTGTTAGTGGAGGACATTAATTTGTATCCGTTTGTAATTGAAATGTTTAGGACCAAACGACGCCCAAAAGTATTTTATAAAACAAAACGGCCACATTACCGAAGATCCGAAAAGAGAGAAAATAAATGGTCACGCCAATGATATGGAGGGAAACAACACACTAACCAACGGTCACTAATAGTGTGGCAAATTTTTTAGTTTGTTGTACTTTTTATTTTATTGTGATTTAATAATGTAGTTACATTTACTGAATGTACTTACTTATAACAGGCTGAGTTCGCTCGTTAACTGATGTACTGATGGGGCATTTTTTACTTAATAGCGACATGGACTTTGGTCAAGTTTGCATTAAACACCAAAGCACTCGAGGACAACTCAGCCCGCCTGATTCTTATTTCCAATAATTCTTTGTTTTTTAGTAACGTAGATTTGTGTAAATAGGGTTAAACATAGACTATACATAAATAATTATTTTTCTGTAATCAAGATGTTTTAAAAAGTAGATCATTTTTAGACATCATTAGTGCACAGAGTCAGAGGAGTTACAGTATTTTTCAATTGTATTTAATAATTTAATTTAATTTATTGCGAATTGGTAAGTTATTTAACGCCACACGTGAAGTACCTGGGTAAAGATTTGTGCCTGTAATTGAATTCAACTGTAACATTACTTATTTAAGTAAGTGATGACAAATCAGTTTTTCTTTATTTGTTAAGAAATACTTATAAGCAATTTTTGAAATATTGTTTCGGTGTGATACTGATAAAATAAAATTTCGACACGTCTCACTTCTTTGTTGTATATTACTTTCCAATGCCGCTTTATCACTAGCAGCTTGCCAATAATGTACACGTTATTAGATGTATCTTGGAAGTTTGTGTACTTTTGTACTGGTACATTTGCTATTGTAAACTTTAAGCACATCTACAAGTTTCGTCTGACAAAGTGTGCTCTGTTATCAGTTTGCTATATACATATAACCATTACATTGAAAGCTTATAAAAAACATGCAAAAACCGTAACCATGAGTTTATACTTTAATTAATGGACTAGTAATGATTCAGATTTGGACTAGGTATTTTGTAAGCATCCTTTTTTTCTCCTCCCTTGCACCGCTCCATCTTGGACTGTCTACAGAGGGAGTGTTGAGGTTGCACCCACTTCCTTAAGTAACTGGTTATCATCCAGTGCTGTATTGGAGGGTATAGGTACTTCGTATATGTTTAAAAGAACATTTTGTTTAGCGCATATCGAAATGCCAATTTACTAAATACGCAAATTTAGTGCCGTATACGTAACAAAACATTGCTATAAATCTTGTACTGATAATGGCGTTTTATTCTTTACATCGATTACCTACTTTAGAGTTTAGGTTATAACAATTATCCTTAATATGTGTATGGTTTCGAACATTTTTGTAGTTCTATCATTACTTAAAAAATTGAGGATTATAACCCCCCCCCCCCCATGTCTCGCCCATGTTAAACCGACGCCAGCGTATACCATTACCATAATTTACCAACACAACTGGTTATCACAAGTTCTTACTCTGACCAAAGAATAACTAATAATAGTATTCTTTGCTCTGACCTCCATTTAATAGGTAGATTAGATCTGAAATTATCTGCCAATTCTGCTCACTTTCCAGCATCAGGACCACCATGTTCTTTTATTATATGAGGTCTCCCACTTTAATGGTCACATGAAATCTTTTAGATTGCCATCTGGGACACTAGCACTACATTATATCAGTCTTTTCACCATATCGTTCTTCCTTTATTCGTCACCTCGCCAATAAGAGTTGGGACAAAGTGTAACTAAACATATTATTCTTTGGCTGGGAGGTTAATGAATTTCAATTTTGAGATTTCACCGGATCTTTACCTACGTTTCAAGGTCTCGGGAGTACAAAAAAGTGGGTTTTAAAAAATGTGGGGCATGATTTTTTTTGGTTGAAATTTGGTAGAGATGATAGTGAATTACGTGTATAACCTGTAAAAAGTAGACCGATTTGGCTGAAATTTTGTAGCAATATTCTCTCTAATGGTGCTAATAGCTGAAATTTTGGAAAATGGGAACAGGCTTTTTGGGGGAGCCCAACCAGCAAGCACTTAGGCACTCCTAAAAGGCTACCCTCTTTCTTTCGCAACCAGGTTTAGAGCCTGTTCCTCTCAATAAAGGATACGACCTGCCAGAGTCCGGTTGCTTGTTGTCACTGAACCTGGAATTGACTGGTCACCCAATCTTAAGGGACTATACGAGCGCACACTCGACTCCCGACTCGTCCACATCAGCACACACATTACACGAATCCTGTACGAGAGTGCAGTAATATGGACTCTTTGATATGGCTTCCATATTTTCTAAAAAGGTAAAAGTTGCTTTGGCGGTTAGTCCAATTATGATAGACTATGTTATGATACCTGACTAAAGTCTCATAAGCATCATTTATTAGCGCATTTTCCGTCTCTGTCCTTCCGTCCGCGGCCGCAACTACTTCTACGGTTTTCAATATATTTAGTTCGTTCTTTTTGAATTCGGTAGTTCATAGCGCTGGCACCTATCAGATGAGCGCATTCACAACCCTACCCTGACAGGTCCGCGCCTGCACTCATTAGCGGATCGGTCGGTGAATGAGTCAGGACGGCCCGATCTAGCGAACCTATCCGCTAATGAATGATGGGTTTTAATCTTGACCCTGAATCTGATGGTATCCTCCCAGACCCGCCTGTGTCCAAGAGACCCCGCCGATCCTTCCACTCGTCCCAATCATTGAGCCGTATGGAAGCCTTCCGAGCCTCTCTGCCTCCACAGCTAACCCTAAAGGCTCAAAGAAGCGCCTTCGCAGGGTCAAAGTTGGAGTGGTTTTCATGGCTCCAGTGACTCCCAGACATGCGAGTCTTTGTACCTTGCGCAGCTGCCTCCTGTCGTGCCATTTCCAGGTCAAACGGGAGTCTCTATGATGACTCCCAAATATTTCACTGACCTGGTCAGACCCATCAGTAGTTGACGTCCAAGAAGAGTGGGTCCATCGAGGTCGCGCTCTACTTCTATATTCGTAAATGGAACAACCTCGGTCTTTTCAGGGTTGACGGAAAGGCCATGGCTACTGTACCACCTATCCACCTGTTCAATTCCTCTGCATGAGTTCTTTCATGGAGTTTGGAAACTTTCAAGTTATGACGATCGCGAGATCGTCCGTGTATCCCTGTGTATACGCTCCGTCCCCGTTCAGAGTGCGGAAGAGTTTAGTTGGAAACGAATGTGCCTATGTTCCGAAAGCGCGGCCGGCTTCTCAGATGCCCTCTAATTCGTGGGCTATTGAAAAGGAGCCTAACGTTACATTGATAACCTCCTGCTTGCGCGCCGTGACGAAGGTGGAACCTCCTACTTGATTTAAAACATTCAAATCTGTTGTTTGCAAGTACTCCAGAAGGTGGTCGCCCCTCGAGTTCATGACCGTGCTGCCCCACTCAACGTGGTGTGAATTTGCATCACAGCCAACCACAAGAGGGGGTCCACTACTTCGACAGGACTCTATCAACTCAGCCAGCTCCTTGGTTGGTGGAGCCTCTTCAGAGTCGTACGGGAGATAGGCTAAGCAGACCACCAATATCCTGCTCGGTCCTCTGCCATTTTTCAGCTGAAGACTTAGAGCTACATGAGATCCCTGAAGCCGAAATCAGCCATTATTAGATAAGAATCGATTGAAAGTACATACCTACATTTAGATTTGGTGTGCTTGTGCGTTACTCGTTGCACTCCTAATAATTGATTACAGTTGCATCTATCAGTAAATAGCATGCATTTTAGTTAAGGTAATGCCGATCTCTTATAATTATTGTTATTGTCTAAACTATTATGTTCTCAATTAAAATTAGAATTAAGTCGAAAAATCTAGCGCGCTGTTGCTGGGAAAAAAAAGGATGGTCAATTATTATTTTTTTAGTTAGTTACGCATCGTTTATTCAATTAGGATATTAAATTCGATATTAATAATTTCTGTACTTCTGCGTTATGATTAATTAAAGTTTACTAAACTAAAGACATGTGAATTTAACTAATAGTGTGCCACCTCAAAATACACAACATAAACTATTCTGAGAAATTATTTATTATCACCCTGTATAATACGTTTTCAAAGGAGATACATTCGGTATCGTGCGCTGCAGTAGTTCTAGTGTATAGTTTGGTAGATCAAATACCTAACCTTCAATTTTCACTTTTCAGGAAAACTGGGTTGAATTTCACTTCGTCTGTAAATTACTACGTTTACTCGTAGGTAAATAATGTCATTAGTTGCCGATTATGGAGATTCGTCCGCCACAGACGAAGAGAGCGATTCAGATTCCTCCGTAGTAAACGACAGGTAATGTAAGAGCGTACTTAACGCCTTGTACTTTGCAATTCACACCAAAAGTTTGCTAGCACTTTATAAATTTACACTACAACAAAAAGTCGGTGAGCTGTCATATGTTTTAGCCCTCCAGAATCGACCGATCTAAAAGAAGCCGCACCGAAATTGCCCGCGCCCGACTTTGTCGAGGCAAACTCTTCGCAGACTTCCGTATTTAGCAATCCGTTCAAACAAGCCGAAGAAGAGAAGCGAGCAATTCTCGAGAAGCACGTCAAGATGGTCAGCACTCAGGAGAACGTGCGTAGCATTAACGGCAAGAAGGTCTGTTGGAATTATCGGAAGGGCAAGTGTCGATTTGGCCACAACTGTATTTACGCTCACGATTCGGATGTGCAGAAAACAGGCGAAGTTCAACAAGCAGTCTTGTGTCACTCGGAAACAGATCGTACTAGTACCAGTCGGTCTAAGAAACGGCCAGGATTGACCCAAGGATTGGTTCCTGGCAAAAAGATTATGAAGAACTATCACAAACAGAGCAGTACAATTTTAATTAATAAAAAGTAAATAAAGCATCACATATTATTACACAATTCCTTCGTCGCGAATCCATAACTTACAACTGGCACCTTTAGGAAGTCGATTACTTTTCATCACTTGCACTGTACACTCGGAGTTTGCTCTTTTTTTAATTACCAGTCGTGTGTTCGCAATTTGCAGCCAATATTTCCCCAGCCCCAGTTTCTCAGTCGCACTATTTTCAACATGAAAATCGCCCTCGTACCAAGTTGTAATGACATTGGTTACAACAATCGCTATGTGTAATTCTCGTGTGAGAAAATGGAGGATATTAACAAAGTCATTCATTACCCCGTAGTTTCTCTCAAAGTCACGCGATTGGTAAAATAAGGGAGGCAGTGAGTCGATTATTATTAAACGCAGTTTAAGGCGGCGAATGTAAACGTCCTCTTTAATTTGGTAGAGGGTGTTTATCAGCTCGTGTTGGGTGTGTAGTCGTTTGACTAGCATTTTTGACATGAGCTCCACGTCGGCTTTACTAGCATCTAACATTGCTTTGATTCGTTTAGCCGCAAAGTCTCCCTTTGTGTCGATCCAAAACACATTCAGGTTTGAGTAAGAGACGACATTTTTCATTAGCGTTAAGCAGAGCTGTGTCTTTCCAGATGACGGTAGTCCGCACACTTCATAAATGTTGCCGGTTGTCAATCCCCCTTGCAGGATACCATCTACCCCTTTGATTCTCGTAGGTATCTGGGCCGTCTTCGCCATGAGCTCGTTCCATAGGTCAAGTGCTGTGTGGACCACCGCCGAATGTTTGTTAACCAGGTGCTTGCGGACGGCTACAACATCCTGAAGGTGTGTATCGCACTAACCACATTTAAACTTTTGGTACTTACTTTGTAATGCAAGGCGGTAATGGTGCCAATGCGTTTAATTTCAGTCTGTAGGAAGTCGAGGACCGTGTAAATATTATTCGCAAATAAAGCGTTTAGCACGGTTTCCGTAAGTAAATTGTGCATATCCGACTTTAACCTAGACATTTTTGTTTATGTACAATTTGAATTTAAAAACCATATTGCGCAAAAGGGTATGTGCACTCGCATCTGAACCTAAACGTGACTCTCCATCAAAGTGCATGCGTAATTTTTAAAAATCGGCGCCATTTTTAAAACAAGTGGCCACTGGTAATTAGGTGTGTTTTAAAACTAACATTTTGCAGTTTCAGTTTTAGGGAATCACTTTCAAGGAATAAAACTTGATCATACGGCACGACCTTAGAAGAATGATGCTTTAATGTTGCCGCTTAAATCAGCAAGTTTAGAAAATGAAGCTTTAAAAACTAGTTATATATCGTTACCTAGCTATCATTCCGATTTGTGTAGTAGAGTAGGTACCTATAATGTTCAATTTGTAATTAAAAAACTAAAGTCTTAATTTAAGGTTGAAGGCAAAGTTAGAAACGTAGAACAAAATTCCCCATTTTTCTGAATGTTTATACGAATACGATCCTCAGCGTGAATCCATTCGAAATTCAAAGATTCTGATCCTGTAGAGTGTAGACTTTTTTATAACACTTTTGGCCACCAAAACCATTGTTTTACGTTTAAGATTTCAAATTACATAAGTACTTCAAACCTGGGCCTTCATTCGTATAGGTAGATAATTCAAAATACTGCTGTATCTCCCATAAATGTGTTTAAACTATATACTTCGACATTACAAGTTAGGTACGTATAATTTCAGGTTTTAACAAAAAATATGCAACTGAGGTTTAATGTAAGCAACAAACTAGTTATAATTTTTTCTTTAGCAATAGATAAACAAAATCGTCAAATGCGCATAAAAGCTCCAAAGAGTGTAATTGAGGCACAGTTTTTGATATTTCTACAATTTCAATTTTGTGTTTTTTATTTTGTTTATTTATAGATTAGTTTGAAATTAATACAAGGCGCAAGGCATGCGCATTTTAGGTGAGTCGCGTTTAGGTTTAGATGTGGAGTATGCATGAGCGGCATGTGGAGCATGCGCGATGCGCCATCCACATCCAGGGCGTTTGCTGCACGGTGCCACGGTCAGAAGCAGAATATAAAACGGCTCGTCGCCATGTTTGGGTAAAGCGATGTGTCCTTGATGTGATTGTGTAAAATGTCGAAAATATCGCATATATCGTAGAACTGATAGTTACGCGGGGTACCCAATTATTGCTCGAAATTTAATTTAAACGTCTGTGGATTTTTTTTCCGCTGATGACCAATTTAGAGGCGAAAATTTTGTGATTACATGATGGTAAGTTCGATCCGTCCTGTGTAATACGCAGAACATGGCGTCTGCCAAAGTTCCTTTGTCTAATCGCAGTTCGTTATCTGAAATTTCCATTCGATGTCGATTCCTCACAAAAACCAACAAACCGTCGGGTTTTCACTGTAAATTTTCATTTTTTGGTTATATTTTTACGCAAAATTTCGTACTTCTCATTACAAATTAATTGTGAAAGCGGCTTCTTGTAACAACGAATCGAGTTTTATGCTGCATTAGTCAATATAAATTCCATGTCATGTACGTATTGATTTCGTTAAATTTGAACCCCGGCTGTTTGTTAAATAATAAAATTAGAAATGAGAGCTATTTACTTTGATTTAATTTTTTTAATCCCGATTTTAATTATACGTTTTAAAATAAAAGTTCGCGCCATAATGGGCGCGCCAAATGTATTTTTAACTTTCGCTACTGTCTTTTTCCAATCAATTATTGCACAATATTATGTATTATTTTAACGAATTACTTCTAAAAAGCTAATTATTAATTTAACGCGCAAATACTGCATCGAATTTGTAATCATTTTATCAGACCGGAGAAAATATTGCCATGGCAACCAGACTACATGTGTCAAAGCATTATTTTTTTTAAACGTTCCTATTTATGGCAGGTGTCCAGCGAATGAGCGACGAAAGTTCGGGGGCAGGGCAGGGTGCTCTGCCCCCGCGGGAAGACTTCACTTCCCGAAATGTGGTGGAGCGCCCTGCAGTAAGACTTGCACAAGTTGCGGGAGGACAGTACCTTCTTACTTCGCAAACGCACGGAATACCAGCCCTCGCACAGGTAACTTGCTTCTTGTATTTTTCCGTCGCTTGATATTTTAAATTTTAAATTCGTTATGTGAATTATTGATAAGCTGTCTAAGTCTGAGATGCGCCTAATAATTTAATGAAGGAAATGAGTAACCAACGAGCTTAATGATAAATCCCTTTCCAAACAAAACAGTATCGTCTGATAATCGTGCATTATTTATTAATGTAATAGCTATCAGGATGTTCCGAAATGATTTTAATTATTTTAAGTAGCGCGCATTAAATGATAATTTTTGATTGTATCATGATAGTACAGTCACACTGTTTACTAAACATTCAAATCTCTAGAAGAATAAATTTGTCTCAGGATTCACTAAACAATTCTCTTGTAAGCCCATTTAATGTTGAATAGAATTGTGTGTGACAGACAGACGAAATTTGAGTAGGTGGCTACCACGGGACACTACTTTACCTGTTATGTTGGGTTCTCTTTAAATGAAATGTAAATGTTAACCAATAAGTGAAGTAAACAATATAAACAGTTGAACAGTTGTTTGGATATGGAATTTTGACATGCCAATAATTTTTTTCTGTACTCCACAAAATACTGGTTTTCCAGTGATTCTCTCCACACATCCCCCCAGAGATCCAGTGAAATGATAACGGCTGATGTTTTTCTTTGAAGTGGAATTTAATCTAAAAAGTGTCAATTTCCAATTGAAATGTGGCAGGTTATAGCAGCAGCGAAAATATGACTAAAGCTAGACACTTCATTATTATAAATAATTTTCGACTTTCGATCTTTCCCAGTGTGTTTGTCCCTCGATTTGTCATTTGTTCTGTCTTGGGTAGTGGTGTATCTTCATAGTTTCTTGCGTTTTTACGTATTAATAGCTCCATTTTTTTATTAGAAAATAGTGATATTTACATTTTTTAAATCAGCACAAAATGCTCTATCAAATGAAACAAAAAATAAAAATGACTTCCATAACAAAAAAAAGTTGATGATGGTTCATCGGAGACGAAACGTCAGACGTAAAACTAGCATCTTGTAGAGATGTGTCATTTATTTTTCAAATGTCTTTAAATAACTTCGTAAAAAATAAAAACTATTTTGCAAAATTTCATTTTTATCTCCAAAGGTAGGAGAAATTTTTTTAAATTTCAAAACGGCATTTTGTTAAGCATCAAAATTCGAAACTTTGCCAAATTTAAACTACCTATTTATCTCTTGCAGTTTCCGAGATCCCCATGGTGGTCCTTGAATTTGAATCAGCCTGTATAGTCATCTTGAAATTGACATTTTTTAAATTTTCCCCCGTATCTCTTGAGCGAGCGAATATTTTCAAATTTTTATTGATCCATGTCAAGTTTGATCCAAAAACTTAACCGTTATGTACTGGAAATTTGGAAAACTATAGAAATATTTTGAAAAATTGATGTTTTGAAAAGGTTGCAAATGAGAATGAATTTTAAAAAATGTTTTTGAAGTGTTTAGTTCTGACATATATGCCCAATGCGCAATTAACTCGAAATTATCCTCAATTTTTGCAAACTTAATTTATCGCCCAAATTCGCAGAAAATTTTGAACTGGTCACAATCGCAAAATCATGCGCTGCTAGTCCATAGCTATAAAATCCCAGACGAACTGGTATTTTTATTACCTATTAGGTACCTATAATTATCTGAGAGACAATCCTTGTGACTTACAAAAATCTTTCAGAAGTCCCATCTTACCAGCATCAATTGCATAAATTGTGGGAATAATAACATTAATATAATATATTTCCAAAATACACATATACAGGATGTCCCAACAAAATTAAATTCAAGATTGTGATGACACATGATAGAAACTTTTTTAACGCATTTTAAATCGGCACAAAACGGCAACACTTCCCATTTAAGCTGTTTCTTCAAGAATATCAAAGTAACCCATGCAATCTCACTTGATCTGGGACACCCTGTATACATTTTTGCTGAAAGTGACGTTGTGGAAATGTTATTAGCAAATTTTGAAATGTCAAAATTATAATATTTGTTCTGAAAGCAGTCTTTCACCCAGCTAAATCTATAGTCTATAGTTATTGTAGTTTTATCAGAATCGAAAAAAAAAACATCAGAATATGTTGATGAACATAGCGTTTTATAAACAAATACACATTGCATTTTGCAAGTGCAAATAAACTGCGATAGGCATGCACGTCTTTTATAAAAATATACACGCATTGTTGCCGGTGTATGTTGAAAATGCAATGTGCTTGCAAATGCGCGAATATTCGCAATCATTCGCTGTTATGTGCAGGAAATGTCCGGACCCACTTCTGTGGTTTTGAACTTCCTTTAGGTGAATTGTCCTAGAATAGGGCTGCGAAAAATGATCGATAATTATTGATAATCACGTTCAAGATATATTGATAATGTGATAGACTTCAATTATCGATAGTCGGTAATTGCCGATAATCGATAACTATATATCAATAACATTTGGATGATTAAAATCTATAGAGAATCTATAATAACCGATAATAGATAGTTATCGATATACTTATGGAAAATATTAGATCTATCGCAGTTCACGTTTATTTTCCCTAGAACGTTCCTCGCGGCAAAGTGCCTGCCACTATCAATACAGATCATAAATAATTATCGATAATCAATAAATATATCAATGTTAAATCGATAATTTTTTATTATCGGTAATCGATGGTGAATTTCTATTATCGCGCAGCCCTATCCTAGATGTTTGGAAATTTTTGTAAAGATAGCCTATACCCTGAAGGTGTGCAGGGTGGGCAAACAAAAACCAGGGTTTTGTAATTTTTTAGTTTTTCTAAGGAACTGTGTTTTTATGTTAGGTTAATTTTTATTTTCATTAACAAGCACTTCATACTAATACTTTTATTTTACATTAAGCCGGATTGGTTTAGACTAGACATGCTGTGTGAGTCTAGTGCTAGTCCATTGTCGACACTGTTTCATTGTTGCCACACAGGTTTAGTTTACATTCTTTCATTAATACCACAACAGTTTTAGTAATTTCGTTTGACTTTAGCTTTGACGTGTTTGTTCTGACCCTTAACAGATGGCGTTGCGGTATGCGGAGAATATCAAAAATCCAATTGACCAGAAAAACATCAAATACCCATGGGTTTTTGCCAGCCCTTACTGGTGTGTCAGACGACCTTCAAATTTTGTTGTCTTAAGGGGGCCACCCCCATTAATTATTTCCGTAGATGCTGTTTCTGAAGTCAAACTTTTACATGGGACACTCAGATGCCTCTAGTGGTGTCATGTAAAACTTTTTAAAATGAGAGGGGAAGGGGGGGTAAGGGGGGTAAACACGTTCTGTACTTTATGGTATTGTAATGAAAGGTCTCATCGTAAGGGATTGGTTTCTACTTTCTACAAACTAACTTTCTTCCGCAATTTTCTTCGTGATCGGGGGGGGGGGGGGGGGGGGAGGCGGAGTCAGCAATTGGTTTTATTTTTCATGGTACTTAAATTAAAGGTTTCAACGAAAGGAACATTTTCTATCTCCAACATCTTTTCGAGATAAGCACACATAGAACATGGGAAAAAGGAACGTGTGGACGAGACATATCTATATTGATGATGTCAAAACTTTGAAGTTCGCATATGTTGAGAATGGAATGTCGGAGGTACTCACAAAGGACTATTGGAACATCTAGCCAAAGCATATCTATTGGTGAAGTCAAAAAGAATATCTCGTGAACAGAGTATTGGAGGGGGGTACTCATAAAGAAAAGATTGTGTGGTTAAAATTAAAAAAAAAAATTTCTTGCGTATGCGTAAATGAATCGACAAGATTTTCCTTGGCTCAATAAGCTATACTGGATGTAGGAAGAATGAAAACTGTGGGAGTCGTTAAGGTCTCAGACGGGCGGACGGAGAAAGGCGCCATAATAATAATTTTTCCAGTTTCCTCTAAGCGGCATTAGATTCAGCCCCAAAATTTTCTTACACTTTCCGAGATCCCGTTGGTCACTCTTGAACTTGAAGCACTGCACACATATGACAAAACCACTATTAGTCTGTCACGTGAATTCTTCTACATGGTACCTCGTACGCAGACGGTCGATAATTAAAAATAAGAAAATCTTAAGATTACTTTGTTGAACTGCGTCTGCAATCAATCAAATCGAGCGGACAGCCCGAATAAATAGCGTAAAGAGACGTACACTCATTTTTAACCGTCGCTAACCAGCAAGCTAGCAGCCACTTTTTTTTCCCGTCTCTGCAGTATTTAAAATAACACCACTTTTAATCTTGAATGAACTCCGTCTTCTAGGATTTACAGAAAAAAAAGCGCCAACAACAATTAGATTAGAAAACGCCGGCTACGAAGGAACGCGCTTGAAGTCCCCTCTTCTTTCTTATCGCAAATGACCAGGTTTTTCTACATTTTATCACGCAATTTCGCATTTTACAATTAAATAAACGATACGCAATTACAAACAAATTTAAAAGGAAAAATAAGACTATGTAAACACAAATTTAAATGAAATAAATCAACTCCCCTAATTAATTTAATAAATTGAAATGTTTCTCATTCTCATTTAGACCTAAATGTTTACAAACAGTGTGTTAGGTATACGGAATCGGAAAAGAATGGGCAGGATTTTTGAAAAATTTGAATCTTTTACTCTAAATATCTTACAGTTTATTATGTAAGTAAGTCATTTTTTTGCATAGTGATACTAAACAAACTAGGCTTCTTCAGAATACTTGAAAAAAAATACAGGGTGGAGGGTGTCATTCGAATTTTTGGACCGAGGGTTAGCAGGGGGCGCCGAATATCACGTTGGGTTGGTATCTCGTGTACTATTAATTTCCCTCCTACTTCCTTGATGAGATTTCTAAATTTCAAGTCGATATCTTTTAAAACACCATAAATAAAAGTCCATTTAAAGTTTTCGTGTGTACGTTCGTATATGAAGGCGCGGCAACGTTGTGTACAACGATGATATTCGCGAACGAATCGTCCTTTTCCGTCCTCACGCTGAAATCCAAGTTACTACCGCTTCCGCCGTCCATTCTTATTTCTTTCCGCAAAAAAACACTCGTTCGCGTCTCTGCTGGGGTAATTTTCTGCTAAAATTCCTACGCGTTTATTGTGATCATCGTGTAATTGAAATCAACGCAAGCAGTGTATATAATAATTAGCAAGGTTTTATGTCTTATTATAGACGCATTTTTCGACTCCCCACGTGGTCAAGTTTGAGGTTATGGCGTCCGTGGTAAAGTTCTATTCCTATACGCGATTGTATTATCTCCTAATTAGTGATAATTGGTTTGAAAATGATTAAATTTCCACGTATGGAGAAACGCCGTCGACGACTGGAATTGTTTATAGGTTTGTGTTTAGAAATAGCGCCAGAGGTTTCGGCGTTTCGGTTTGTTAACGATGTGAATTTTTTGCAGATCAGCGGAAGCAATGCATCGACCGCGAATACGAGCCCGGGTGTGACTCGAATCATCAGTTTGAGTCCGTCGAGGGTGCATACGTCGACTTTAAGGCCGAGCTTAGCCAATCAGAATATCGTGAACGCGTTGACGAAACCGAGAGCAACCGGAAATGTACGAACACAACTGTTTCAAGCCACGACGGTGCCGAATCAAGTGAGATCGCCCGTTAAACGTGCACTATCTACCACGGAAGAAAAGGACAGTTACAGTGTTAAATTGCAACGTGTCATGAACCATAGAAACGTTAGGTCGAAAATAGTTAAAGAGAAATATAATGAACATTTAACTGAAAAGTATTATTTAGAGACGTCGGGAAATATTTTAGATCTCCCGCTTTTTGCGAGAAGGCCGCCCACTCCACATTATCTCACTTATTTGAAAGAAAATGCGATAGATCCCAAAGAAGTTATGGATGACGAAGAGACGCAGGATGTCGAAATGAAGCCCGATATGACAAACTCGACTACCACCGTACCTACCACCCCCAGTGCGAGTAACAGTTTGGATTCGTTTAGTTCAACCAACGGTCTCAAGGTGAAAGCGACCTCGTCGTACTCGACGCCAAACAACCAGGAGCAAATTGTTGAGAAAGCCAAACAAGAGGCGTACGTCGTGCAAAGGATAAGCGATCTTCAAAAGGAAGGGTTATGGTCTGATAAGCGTCTGCCGAAAATCCAAGAAATGCCAAGGGTGAAAGCTCATTGGGATTTCCTGATCGAAGAAATGGTCTGGCTGGCCGCCGATTTCGCGCAGGAGCGCAAATGGAAGAAGGCGGCGGCGAAAAAATGCGCGAAAATGGTTCAGAAGCATTTCCAAGACAAGGCGTCGGCAGCGCAACGCGCCGAAAAGGCGCAGGAGCAGCATCTGAAGAGGGTGGCCGCTTTTTGCGCGAAGGAGATCAAGAGCTTCTGGACTAACGTCGAGAAATTGGTGGAATATAAGCAGAATATGAGGTTGGAGGAGAAGCGGAAGCGGGCCCTTGACCAACATCTGAGCTTTATAGTCGATCAAACAGAAAAGTATTCGCAATTATTAGCGGAAGGGATGAATAAATCCGTCGTGAATACAACTATCAGCGAAGGTCCAAGCGCACCATCATCGAAGGCACCCTCGCGAAATAATTCCGATGGTAAGTAAAGTCACGGTTTGTGGGATTAACCAGGTAAAAATACTTTTGTAACGTTTACTTGACTTTTATCAATATATATAATTTTTCTGGAAGAGCACACTTTGTTTATTCAAAGATACATGCAGAGCAGTTTCTGTAAAAGACCATATCAACTTCCAAAAAAAAGTGTTTAAAGTTGTTTCCACAAATTTTTGAAAAATTTTCTAGGTACTGGTGCAAATGTTAGTTGGGGCACAGATGTGTTTTACCCAACATTTATTAACAGAGGGCAGATGCTATTGTTATTCGTAATTATCTTTATTTTTTATTTGTGTTGAGTCACACTTATTATTCTACATGCAATAACAGATAAAATATTAACTGAAACTGTGTCACAATTTAAGAAAAACTGACTGACAAATTTAAGCGATTCTCCTTTGATTTTCACCTGCAACCTCTTTTATAACATTTCCCCTTATCCTTAGTTCTAGGTGTGTCACTGTTGTTTCCATATTACATTGCAGTTCTATATTACTCAGTAGCATACTTTGCAAAACAATTTTTTCACATTTGTTTTCTCACTGCCTACTGTTATTTACATAAAAAAAAAATTTATTTTTTACTGTTTTTAAATAGTTGGCCATGAATTCATGGAAATTATGTTTCATTTATTGTACCCATGGTAGTTGATGCGTTACATTTTGAAATTTTGAAAAATGTGAGATAATACGTATAATATATGAAAAAGTTAGGATTGGGTGGCGGAGGGAGAGGAGGTAATCTACACCCCTTAATTAAACATACAATTTAATAGGCGTTTATTACACAAAAACAATGACCCGATAGATTGCTGTAATTCTGAACTGTTTCTTGGAAGTCCTTAATGTATGGGTCACGCGCCTTCGCGCACTCCTGTTGCACTTAAGCTCCCTTAGTGAGCCATAATAAAACGTGATGTTTATTTAAGGGAATTACGTATATAATTATCATTATAATCCGGAAAAGAAATGCAAAAGAATCGAGGTATAAAGGTATACAGGATGTTGCATTTCAAAAATACCAACTTTGGATCAAATCTTGGAATCATTGGTCCAAAATTTTGTTGGACTACTCCACTAGATGGTATGGAAAAATATCTAAAATATGCAGTCTTTACCTTTTTTTTCTATCTTACATAGGTCATAACATCTGCAACAGTCAAACCTTTCGTTTTCACTCTGTATCTCAGAAACAAACATAGCTAGATGGATTCTGTTTGTATCCCCAATGTGCATAATAATGTGCAGTTCCTTCGCCTTCCCAAAATGCCATTTTGTATTATTACCTTAATAAAAAAAACTGTTTCATCCCTAAAAAGCGCATTTTTTTAGAAAATTTCTTACATGATCCGTCTCTGCATTGTGTGGCTCGTGCACGCTGTGAACTACTAATTTCAAGCATATGTTAATTTTTCCCTTCCCCGCTATGAAAGTTTGGAGTTTATCAAAGAAGTTCTCATGCTAGTCTCTTAACTCCGGAAGGGGGGAGACCAGACACATTTTCCGAAACTGCACATTTCTCTGTGTACAGGGTGGTTCAAATTCGTGGCTTACCATTGTGATCTCTGTAACGGTGATAGATAGTGTATGTTAAATGGGGACAATGCTGTCCCTTTTTGTAACTTAATAAACGCGTCTGAAGTTTGTGAAAAATCTTTGAAAATAACCGAAAAACTGAAAATATCAAATTTAATTTTTCTTAGCTTAAACGGTCGGAAATGGACAGTTCCCGTTATCACCTTCTATGGGTACCTTTTTCCAGGAGAATCTGAATCCATTCTCAAAATTACACTAGATGTAGAACCAGTGTCAAGTTAGCCCCCCCCCCCACTTTTTGAATTTTCAAAATATTTTTATGCCAATCGTTTGTTGGTGTTTTGTTAGCTACATTTTGACATTTGTTGGTTGACCATTATTTAATTATTCAAATTTCAAGTTTTGGGCTTATCAAAATATTTGTATGGCAATCATTTGTTGGTGTTTGTTAGTTACATTTGCATATTTGTTGGTTAACAAGTTATTTAATTATTCAAATTTCAAAATTTGAGTTTATAGTTAGCCCCTCACTTTTTGAATTTTCAAAATATTTTTATTTCAATCGTTTGTTGGTGCTTTTTTTTCGTTTGTTGGTGCTTTTTTTTCGTTTGTTGGTTGATAGTATCTTCAGAATAAATTTTGTAAGTTTTGGGCGTGAAGTTATCCCCCGACATTAAAATTTGTGAATTTTTTTATTTGCGATCGTTTGTTGGTCGCTGGTGGATATTATTTATCATTATTGGTTGGTAGTATCTTTAGAATAAATGTATACAATGTTGAGCGTGACGACATCATTTAAACGTTCTTAAGTTTTTAGCGCATTTCCACAAAAAAAATGCGCTATTGTGGCCACTTTGTCCGTCCGTCTGTCTGGACGCTACTAGTTCTTTATCTTAGGAGCTATTGTTCTAATTTTTTCGCTATTTGGATCGTTATGGTGTCGAGGCTTGCACCAAATGTTAAATTGAACAGGCATAAGTTGGGGGTTCGCCAGAAAAAAAATCTAAAGGAAGGTTTCGGTGTTAGTAAAAGGTTGGGAACCACTGGTTTAGGGAATTTCAAACCATTGACTTAGTTTGAGTACCTCAGTTGCGTGACAGCGTGTCAGATTAGAAATATCTGATCCAGTCATTATAACATTTGTATCATCTGCATAGTTAATGAATGCACAACTGTTATTTGGCATTGAAATCGATTGCAAATCGTTTATAAAAATGACAAACAGCAATGGAGCTAATTTGCTTCCTTGTGGTATTCCTATGATAATTTCGAGGTGTAAAGATGTGAAACAGATGTTATTCTGCTGTATTTCAACGTACGACGATTAGAGAGGTAGCTTTGGAATAACCTCAGGGCCACTCCTCTTACACCATAATTTTCTAATTTATTTAATAGTATTGTATGTTTACGCTATATACATATAACATGGTTACCACCTATAAAATGTAATTTTCGTTTCTTCTGCAGCTTTTGACTTTGTTATATTACGTGATTTACAGCTAAATTCACTTTACCGTAAATGTCAATTAATTGTCAAAGTCGACCATATTGAGAAGCCTAATTGGATCGCAACAAGCGTACGTTATATGTAATAAAAAAGGAGAAAATGAAGTATTTTTATCTGTATCGATTGTATCTGTACAGGGTGAATCAGAGCACCCGTCCCAGGCTTTTATCTTGGAATAGAGACGCCTTAGAGTTTTAGGAAAAAAATTTTCATTACCAAAGCCTACCTGAAGAATTTAATGGTAGTAGTCTCTATTTCCGGAATTAACCGGAAGTAGGCGTAACAGCACTCAACTTCAGAATTTCAAATGGAACCCTAGGTCTTGTGTGGTATCGTTGGATAGGTATTTTGAAAACAAACAACTTTTGTAGGAAACATTTTTTTTTTGTAAAAAGTGTTATTTACGAAATAAAATTAATAAATATGTTATTTACGAAATAAAAATAAATAAATAAAAAAGCTGACTTAAAACCAAATGATTCCTGCTGTTCCCGGCTACTGCGATTTAATTCAAGTGTTTTTGTTTGAAAAGGTAAGACAGATATTGTTTTGTGTAAATAGCAACGTAGTTTTTTGTCATTATTACGACAGGTAATAGTAACTTTACACCTGCATTTTAATGTTAAATTTACATTATTTGTTTAAATTTTTCTTCCATACACACATGTGCAAAGGGTTTTTTATTGTAACAACATGGTATTTTCAAACCGCGAAGGTTTCGATATGCTGATGGTGTTGGGTGAGTGTCGTCAAAATTATAGAGCAGCTGAGAGATTATACGCTGAGCGATACCCTCAGCGACCCGTTCAGTCGAGGAAAGTGTTTCAACGCCTCGCTGATCGAGTTAAGATGACTGGTGAGGTACAACCGAAACACAATAAGAATCGGCGCATCGGACGGTATGTACAGGATGAAAGAGCGCCTGATATCCTTGCCGCTGTTGCTCTGGACCCACACGTTTCAACCAGGAGACTTGCAATCGACGCTGGGATGAGTCAAATGACAGCTTGGAGGATTTTAAATGGCAACAAATTATATCCATATCATGTTAATTTACATCAGGCACTTGGAGGACAAGATTTTCAGAGACGGTTAGATTTTTGCGAATGGTTATTGAACCAAAACCAAAACTTCCATCACAAAATTCTCTGGACCGATGAAGCAACGTTTAAAAGCAGTGGCGATGTTAATATTCACAACGCTCACTATTGGTCTCGTGAAAACCCGCATTGGCTACGTGAAGTGGATAACCAGAATGTTTGGAGTCTTAATACCTGGTGCGGCATTTTAGGAGGCCGAATTATTGGTCCGCATTTCTTTGACGGCCATTTAAACGGGGCCGTGTACAACGATTTTCTGGAGAACATCCTCTATGACCTTCTAGACAACGTCCCAATTGCAATACGTGCAGAGATGTGGCTGCAACAAGACGGTTGCCCAGCACATTTTTCGAGAGTATCTCGCCAAACTGCCAATCGTCTCTTTCCTAATCGCTGGATGGGAAGAGGAGGTCCGTTTCCTTGGCCAGCTCGTTCCCCTGACCTGACACCACTTGACTTCTTCCTCTGGGGACGAGTCAAAGATATTGTTTATCAACAGCGCCCAACCACGAGGGAGAATATGAAGGAAAGAATTCGAAACGCATGCCGTTTGCTCAATGAAAATGAGGTGCTTAGGGCAGTCGACAACGTCCGACTTCGGCTACAAAACTGCATCAATCAAAATGGAAGACATTTTGAACATATTAATTAATATTTATTTCGTAAATAACACTTTTTACAAAAAAAAATGTTTCCTACAAAAGTTGTTTGTTTTCAAAATACCTATCCAACGATACCACACAAGACCTAGGGTTCCATTTGAAATTCTGAAGTTGAGTGCTGTTACGCCTACTTCCGGTTAATTCCGGAAATAGAGACTACTACCATTAAATTCTTCAGGTAGGCTTTGGTAATGAAAATTTTTTTCCTAAAACTCTAAGGCGTCTCTATTCCAAGATAAAAGCCTGGGACGGGTGCTCGGATTCACCCTGTACAATATAGAGTAAAGCCGTAGTGGAGGAGCGTTGGGCTACATAGCCGGAGGGCGGATCACTCTGTAATTGGGCGCAAGCCTGTTGCGGACCCAGAACAAGGAGGGATATGTAAGAAATAAAGTAAATAGCAAGAACTTTGGGATTTATGTTAGATGATTTACATAAATAATTAAGGATAGGTACAATAATGTATAATTAAATAATGGTCAACCAACAAACATGAAAATGTAACTAACAAACACCAACAAACGATTGGCATAAAAATATTTTGAAAATTCATAAAGTGGGAGGCTAACTTGACACCGGTAGATGTAGAAGCTATATACTACTACTTTCTTATGGGCGCCATATTGGATTTTTATGAAGTGAGATAGAAGAATAAAAATCGGATCGTTTAAGCTAGGGCAGGGGTCGGCAACCTGCGGCTCGCGATGTGGCGAATAGCGAAATAAAATAGTGGTAGTTCCATTTGAAAAAGAATAGTTATAGCACTTGGAACAAATAGCATTGAAACAAGTAAAAATTTGCAGGATGTTCTATTTAAAAAGATCAGTTTATTGACATCGTAAAAATGGGACATCCTGTACATTCAAAAATAATTTCTGTAGATCCGCAACCACCAATATTTTTTACCAGGTATCAGCTATATAGGAAAAACCGACTCTGTATATAGACAAATACTATAATTAAAGTCACTAAATATAGAAAGTACCGCAATCCATTGGGCCCGTGTGTTAGAGAGAGAACAAATGATTTTTGCCCAAAAATGGCCTTTAATGTTAGGGATTGTTCCACCTGTTTGGAGATATCTGTAATATTTTTATAAAACATGACAGTACTATGAAGTCAGGTTATAAAAAATTACAGCTGTTCAGATTGTATTTGTCAATTTTTTTAAGTTTGCAGCAAATTTGCCCAAAAATGGCGGATGATTGCGGTACTTTCTATATCTAGTGACTTTAACTATAATATTGAATCAAAAATTTTTTACTGCTCTTTAAAAACTGGGAAATTTTGTAAATTGTAGTTTTTGGCTCTTCCCTTTCAATAGGTTGCCCTGGGCTAGGGCAAATGAAAATAAATTTGATATTTTTCAGTTGTTTTTAAAGTTTTTCAAAAATTTCAAATGCGTTTTTGTAATCACAAAAAGGGGCAACTTTGCCTTCATTTAACCTACCTTGTATCTCTTACCGTTACGGAGATCCCAATGGTGCACCACGAATTTGAACCACCCTGTACAGTGGGATATTTTAAGTAAATCACTTTTTTGATTGTAAGAAATTATCTGTGTATTCGGCAAATTGAAAGGTAATATTGCACTTTTCGTACCCTTTTTGAAGTAGGCCTGTGAGAGTCACCACCTATTGGCTTTGGGTAACTAGTGCATAATATTTGGCCGTAGCAATTACATGAAAATAAAGTTTTCAAGTTTTTTTTCTATTGGACCTTGGATTCCCGCGGTTTTATTGTATACAGGGTGGCCAAATAAGAATGCGAGGTACTGTATCTGGGAACCTGTCCATCGTAGAGGCTTGCGGTAAAAAAATGTATTACTAAAACTGCCACGAGAAAAACCTGGAAAATATTTTTAAGTTAGGTTAATATAGCGGAATTCACAGAAATATCACTTTTTTAGATTCCAGATTGCAGTTATGCCCCCTAGCGGTCATTTCAGAAACTTAAAAATATTTTCCAGGTTTTGCTCGTGGCCGTTTTAGTAATAAATTTTTTACCGCAAGCCTCTACGATGGATAGATTCTCAGATACAGTACCTCGCATTCTTAGTTGGCCACCCTGTACACTACTTTTTCATTGCATATGCATTGCACCGGGACTAGTTATGGTCCAATCAATTGTCTTTAACTTTTCTATCCAATGATGGGCGCAAAATATTTATTGTACAAAGTGCTGTTATTACATCAGCCAAAATTTTTTGGGAGTGGCTTAACTGCATCTGTTGGGTGAACAAAAAGCGCCTTAAATAAAGTAATTGCCACAATGGCCTTAATAATAAATCGCTCTCCATGTCCATTAGTCCCTTCCCATATACATTGAAAACTGTGTGACATAATTTGAAATCGAGGGAAGGGGGGAGTAATGTATAAAATTGACAGTAGTTCATGTGATACTTCATTTTGAAGGTCATTTGATCTGCAGTTTACCTCATGAGCTTTATTGTTTCTAATATTTAAACAATAATTACAAATATACTTTAAGAGGACTTTTGACACTTTGTACTAAAAATTAGTCATTGTGCAGGTCACACATGGCCTTTTTGATAGTTACACATTAAATAAGTGTAAGATATGGTTTGGAAATTTAGCGGCTCAAAGGAATAATTGTATTCTGTTACAAAAAATATCATTACTCACTTTACATTTACCAAATGGCATTTAATGATGATAATTCTTGCTACCTTTCGTTTCACTGAGGGTGTGAGAGCCCGTTCTGTAAGATTGAAACTGGCATTTGTCTGATCAACAAGTGCCATTTCATTCGAAATCTTTTACGAGAGGAGATGTTGATCTTTGTGGTATTTCAGACGAGTTTCAACCTGATCATGAAAGCACGGACGATGAGGAAACGATACGACAAGAGGAAGAAACTGCCGGTGAACAGGGTCATGGAGAAGAGGTCGCGGCACTACAGAGAGAATCCGAAATGGATTTGGAAACTTTCTTAAACGAGTTACCTAAGGATTACTTGGCAAATCGTGACAAGATTCAAATCGGTGAAGGTGAAGAGACATCGGTACGTAATTGTGAACTTTTTGAAACGTTCGCTAATAAGCGTATTTAGGATGACGATAAAGGGGAAGGCGAAAGTACCAGGAGTAGGCAGTCGGAAGATGAAGACTTTGTGGCAGACTCGAGTAGTGAGGAGGACAATGAGGATACGATAAAGGAGCAAGAGAAGGTAGAAGGCAAACAAAATCATAAAGAAGAACTAGACGATTTGAAAGGTAATTGTGTTCATACAGTCTTAAGTCTTAAATAAACTGAAATTCTTTTCCCCAGCTGAAAACGAAGTGAGTGTCGAAGATTTGAGAAAGAAATACAGCAATTTGCCTCCTATTCCGGATGCAGAAGATACACCTTCCGATTCAGATTATTCTGGTTCAAACGGCGACGGTGAGGATGAGGACTCCTCTGACGCCTCCGATGTGTGCAGTGATGTGGATATAAGTATTTCTGAAAGTGAGGACCATGAAGATGAGATCGGCCTGAAGTCGTTACTCGACGGGTCTGGTTCTTCGCAAAATGAGGGAGATTTAAAGACTGATAACCAAGATCTTATTGATGATGCTGCGGCTATCGCCGAGAGCATCCAGCCGAAAGGCAATACACTTTCTTCTACTAGCGTAAGTAATTGCTTGTTCTGTGCGTGTGTGGTGTTATTGCCTAACTTTAGGTTGCCACCCCCATTCCTTTCTTGTTGCGTTACACTTTGCGCGAGTACCAACACATCGGTCTAGATTGGTTGGTAACAATGTTTGATCGTAAGCTCAACGGAATTTTAGCTGATGAAATGGGTTTGGGCAAAACTATTCAAACAATCGCCTTGTTGGCGCATTTAGCTTGTGAGAAAGGTAAGATGGAGCAATTTCGTTTCGATTTATTTAATTTTGTTTTTATAGAAAATTGGGGACCACATTTAATTATTGTGCCCACGTCCGTTATGTTAAATTGGGAGATGGAATGTAAAAAGTGGTGTCCCGCTTTTAAAATTTTAACCTATTACGGTACACAAAAGGAACGCAAACAGAAACGCATGGGATGGACTAAGCCGAATGCGTTTCACATTTGCATCACCTCATATAAGCTCGTAATTCAAGATCATCAAAGCTTTCGGAGGAAGAAGTGGAAGTATCTCATATTGGACGAGGCACAAAACATAAAAAACTTTAAATCGCAAAGATGGCAGTTGTTACTTAATTTCTCGACGCAACAGTAAGTTGATTATTTGTATTACTTTAGTTTTTTTTTTGCGTTTTCTGATTGTAGATTGACTTATGTTGGTTAATTTTTAGGCGTTTGCTCCTCACGGGAACGCCTCTACAAAATAACTTGATGGAACTGTGGTCGTTGATGCATTTCCTAATGCCTCACGTCTTCCAGTCGCACCGTGAGTTTAAAGAGTGGTTTTCCAACCCCGTTACTGGAATGATCGAAGGCAATTCTGAGTACAACGAGAGTATTATTAAAAGGTTGCATAAGGTGAGATGCTTCCTAATAGAGTTGGGTACGTGAGCTGTCTATTATATCAGTATCCTTTTGTTGCCATTGCGACCAACAAGATTTTTTTGCATTCAGGAATTTTCTCCGCATTTAATCATGTTACCACACAACATATACTACAGACGGTCAATGCAATGCTATAGAAATAAACGCAACACCTAATAGAGTACGGTTAGTGTGTTGTCTACCTTGAAGCAGTCGAAATAATTTGTCGTAAAATGTGGTTAGACGCACAGAAAACTGTTGTGTGTGGTGAAAGTGTGTAATAGATGGAGTCATTTTTGTAAAAATAAAATACCTATACTCAAACCTTATTTCCTCGGCTTCAGAACGCGGGCCTATACGTAGATAAGATAAGCGCTCACTTGTATAACATCATAAATTACATACATGAAATAGGATACATTTTAATTCTTCATTTTTCTCTTTTCTAAACATTAAAAAAATTGATGGAGCAGGTTTGGTTATACAAGGGCGGAAACTAACTTTGGCCTCCAAATATAAAATTATGAAGTTGGGCAAGGAAAGATTTTATTAGAATAATAAACATAATTTTTGTTTTTCCATAATAAATATATTATTATACCGGGTGGTGACTTGAACAACGCACCATAGGAATTGCAATAGTAATTTTTTCATTTCTGATTATTGATTTCTCTAATTATTTTAGAGAGAAAGTCTATTTACGTTTTTTGTAGAGAAAAAATTACGAATCCATGCGTACTATAGCTTTTAATTTTCTGAACTTGAATCCAAGAAATTGGATAACTAAAAACTGGCGCTTTTAAGAAAATCAGTGGTCAGTGGTGCCATGGCAATTTGAGATCAAACATGGCAAATGCAGACGCTTTTGTTTGATTTCCTAACTCCATGGAATTACCGACTTTATAAACGCGAGAGTTTTAAAATTTTTACTGATTCTGAATTTATAAAACACAAAACAAGAGTATGTACGAATTCGTTTATACCGGGTGATTCATTAGAAGTGAGGACAATTTGAATTTCCCGCAAATCAAAAAAATTATGAAGTGGGTACTAACTGATGATCTTTTATTTAATTACAGTGGTGTATCATCATTCTTTCAGTAAATCGTTTACTTATTTATAATCTACAAATACTGCTTCTGTTTCACCACAAATTATAAACTAACACTAGACACAGACACGTTTCTTACATATTTTAGTGCATCAACTCTAAAAATTGTTCAAAATGGAAAAAGTAATAAACCGCAAATGGCACACAACAATTAACGGCGACACTGGTTTCTTAAATGACAGTCATGACAGAAAAAAATTACTAACGAAATTCAAACCGTCAATTTAATAATGCAAAAAATACTAAAACCTTACGCGCGAAATTCAAGCGATCATGAAGTTAGAAGTGTCTAATGAATCACCCGGTATAATTCGAGGTAAATCTTCCACTCACGCCTTTGACGCTCCCGACGAAGGCGACGACGGGCGACTTCAGCGCCCCCCAGACTTGGCGTCCAGGGCCTGGGCCCCCCTCGCATGGCCTTGCCTACCTATATGTATCTGTGATAATACCATCACAAAATTTTTTGATTAGAGGAGGGAGCACTTAACGAACTTTATTTATTTTATGTCAATGTGTAGGGTCAACATAGTCCAGTCAAATTAGCTCCAAAAGTATTCTAAACTGGATGTTGGCATTTCACACAACGAAACCAAGTGTATGTAGTTCCCTGCCCGGAAGCTCCCGGAACATATTGCTATACACAAAAAATCAAGAAAAAATGGAAAAATGCAGTTTTTTTTGCATTTAACTCCCAATTATCTCATCAACTATTGCTCGAGCTCATAGAAATGAATTTGTTTAGAATCAAATTTTCAGTTTGTACAGAACCGTTCATTTTTAAATGTTTTTTCTGGAAAAATACAAAAAAAGTAATCCCAAAAATTAACATTTGTTTTTGTTAATGCGCCCTTCTCGATGCTTTGTCCTTCAAACTGGATGACTCCCAGAGCGTTTTCAATATTTTTATGGATGGTGGAACCGTAAAACAACCTATTCCAACAATTGTCTGTTGTCTCGATGAGTTTTGCAAATCCACGGACTGTGGAATTAGTTTAGTGGAAACCTCAGAAATAGAGCAAGAAAGTAACTTTATAATACGCCCTTGGCACTCTGTTTAATAAAAGTCATACCAACTGTACCTGATAAGCTCAATTTACATTATACTTTTTTCGTCTAGAAACTTTGACTAGAACTTGTACTAGATGAACTTGTTAAAATTTTGACAATGTAAATCAGAAAATTCCGTCCAAGTTTCTAATCCTGAAACTAGGTCCAGACTCATTTTCCATCCAAGTTTCATACTTGTGACTTGCGCACTAGCACCAAATTAGAACAAATTCCGTGCTACCAACAACTTTATTTTTATACTCTTGAACATAACCTCAAATATAAGTCTCTTGAATTAGGTACATGTACATAGCAAAAATGAGTTTCTTTTGCTTGTTATTCATGTTTGTTTCCTAGCAATTTTAATTAACCTCAAAATGTACAATATTGAGATTTGTTTTCCGAAATTGGCAGCACTGCCATTGAAACACAAAGGGTACGTTCCACTTAACGCCCGTAACGATCACGACCGCGACCGCGGTTTTGTCGTTCCACTAGCTTAGAGGCGTTGTGGGCGAAACCTTAAGTGGAACGCTTTTGAGTACGATGTGACGTCACGCGTGAGTGAACAGTTTTCCAACATGGACGTCGTTGAGGAGTTCGTAATGCGTAAAGGATACAAAGTGGGGTGGATTATGAATTCAAGAGTCACATTAAGTTGGTAAATATTTTTTATTTTTAATTTTAAAATATTGAAAACGACTTTTGAATTTCTATCATAAATGCTGCGGCCATACTTAATACGATGATAATGAACACTTCTCCCCAGAATTTCTTCTGGGAATGCTGCTTCGAAAACAATTTCTCTTTTTCATTCAAAACTAACGTGCATTCTCATTTTCATCCATCGTTGCATTACCATTTATAATCTATCATACTCATCCATAAGATCTACAATAAAGAAAATTGTGTTAAAGCAGAATTTTCCTTAACAAATAACTTTAACATTCACGAATCAGCATATATACTTACCAGTTTGTGCATGTAGAACATCCATAATGTAATGTCCACCACAAGGTTACGTTCTGAAACACGTAATTATATTTTCTCCATAGCGAAAACGAAAAATTTGTAACGCATGCGTGTTCAAACAATCAGTGTCTGACAGTTAAATGTCTCTAGAAATGTCTCCTGTCAAGAATGTAAGGTTATCAAATTAGAACGCCCACGCTGACCCAGGTACGATAGGCGAGCGCCGTGGGCTCGTTGCGGTCGCTAGTAATGACGTCATATCTGACGTCGCGACTGCGACCATAACGACTGTGGTCGTTATGTGGAACGGCAGACGGGCGTCGTGGTCGTTGCGGGCGTTAAGTGGAACGTACCCAAAAAGTCAATGCATCAAAAAGCGGTAAATTTAAATTTCTAGTATAGTGTCGAATCTAGCACATTTCTAGTCAAAGTTTCTAGACGAAAAAAGTATAATGTAAATTGAGCTATAGAAAAATCGATTCTAAACAAATTCGTTTTCTTCATTTTTTCCGTAAGAGGAATACTTAACGAGATACCTAATTAAGTCAAATGCGAAAAAACGACATCTTCCCATTTTTTCTTTGTTTCCTTGTGTATAGCAATATGTTCCCGGAGTTTCTGGTCAGCTAGACTGTCATTTACGAATTCAGGGGATTTTTTTGCATACAATACACATGGTTTCGTTGAGTGAAGTGACAACACACTAAACCGGCAGACAGTAATAGATACAAAACTATAAACCATCTCGAGGATCGCTATTAAAACTTTGCTTTGTGACAATTTTCTTAGGTAATTGCATAAGTGCATCAAAATGCTCTTTAAACAAATTATGAAAATAACTGAATGCAGTTTTTTACTGATAAGATACTTGAATAACCAAGTAAAAGGTTTTCGCCCTAAGGCGAGTAACTTCAGCGCATTTTCCATAAATTGATCAATACTTCCCCAAAGGCCATACCTATGTGCGTTATGTTTTTCGTTACTAGAGGCATATATGGTTAAAATTTTAAAGAAATATCTTCATAAATAAGGAAATTGACACTTACTGCGCAGTTGATATTGCGCGTCCTGCGCATGCGCTTATTAATCTGAGATTTACAATATGCACTACGTCTTCTTTTACTATAAGTATCTTTGGTTAAAATTTCAAAGATATATCTCCATAAATAAGAAAGTTTGCATTGCGCACATCTGATTTTTTACTATATGCGATATACAGGGTGTCCCTAAAAGGTCTGTACAACGCGCTACCAGGGGTTCTTGGTATCAAAATAGGACGATTTAACCCAACTTACCTCTATACAAAAGTGCTTCGGTAAGGCACTATCTACCGCCAAAGATTAAAAAAAAATCGTTATTTTTATTTTATTGGAAAATGGTTTTGCTGATTAAAATGAAATTCGGGATGTGAATGTCTAATGTAAAAAGGGTCTTTGTGATATCATCGTCATTTTTTGAGGAACAATCGCATGTATGGTGCATGCCATTCATCATGCCTAAATTATTATTTTTTTCGTAAACCATCACAGATAGTGATATTCATCAAGAGACAAAAAATGCTTGCAAGTAAACTGTCTATCAGTGTCTAAAAATTCAGAACCGTCAAAGTAGTAGTTAAAAAGTTGTAGACCTCTTCAGATATGGATGGTCAGTATTTTACCACCTACATAGCAACTACAATCAAAACACAAAGACCCTTTTTACATTAGACATTCACATCCCGAATTTCATTTTAATCTGCAAAACCATTTTCCAATAAAATAAAAATAACGATTTCTTTTTTAAATCTTTGGCGGTAGATAGTGCCTTACCGAAGCACTTTTGGATAGAGGTAAGTTGGGTTAAATCGTCCTATTTTGATACCAAGAACCCCTGGTAGCGCGTTGTACAGACCTTTTAGGGACACCCTGTATTTGCCTTTACTACAAGTATCTGTGATTAAAATTTCAACAAAATATATTAATAAATAAAAAAGTTAACAATTGCGCAGCCTGCGCATGCGCAGTTCAATCGTCAAGATTTTCTTTGACTTAGGTGCCAGAGCGATACGCTACCGAATGCAAAAAGAACGAACTAAATATCTTGAAAACTGTAGGAGTAGTTAAGGCCTCGGACAGACAGACAGACGGATGGACAGAGAAAGTGGCTGCAATAGCGCACCCAACTTCGTTGGAAAATGCGCTAAAAATTATGAGGTTTATTTTGATCCACGAGTGTAATTCGGGGGAATATTTCCCGAATAAACATTACAAACTCACCTTACCTACTTCCCATGAAATGTGCAATTATCGCAGGGCTCTTTCGTTTTCTACAATGCAATTACCGCTGTAATTGACCGATAATTGCACACCTCATATGGGATTTATTACATATGGGGCAAATATTCATTCGAAAATTGCTTACGTTTAGGTTTTCTTTATCCATGTTAAATGAAGTTAAATTGCTGATTGCAAGATTTATTCCACAAACGGAGAGACAAGTAGGCAAGGAGAGTATGTAGATATATAAACAAACACGGAGATTATTACACTTTTTTCGAGAATTCGAAAAGTGGTGCAAGTTATATCGTTTCTTATGCACCCGAACACAACGAGTAATACGTAATTGCGAATATGAAGTGATATTTGCTTTGTATGTGTACCTGCGAAGATTATCAGCACCTCGCCCCAGATGTAAATTATGGGGATTTCTTGTAGGACAGCTTTCTAACAATAAAGTATCAATACTTCTTTCCCTAGACAATTTGCAAAACCATTCCAATAAAAGAAATCTGTAGAAGAACCAACACATCGATGTATATGCTAATAGATGGAGCAAAATAGAGGGATAGCAGGTTTTTAAATAAGGGGACATTTGAAACAAAACTTAGCGTGCTTTTTTCCCTTAAGATTGACCGTCTGTAGTATATGTTGTCTGTGATGTTACTAAACTTGTTTACGGGGTCGTATAACAGAACTATCCAGAAGCATGGATTTTAATAAAGGCGCATGTAGCATTTTTTATTTACTTTTTTTAAATCTATTGTTGGATAAGGATCATTTTGTTATATGACCCCATAAAAAAGTAACGATTAAACGTGGGAGCAAGATAAATATTGTCATTTAAAAATTTCAAAATAAGATAGCATATAAACAAAACTGTTGTTAACCCATTTTTTAAATTTAACCTAAAAAAGATAAAAGTAGTTTCCCAGCTTTTACCTCACCCTGCGGTTAATTATACTCACTTAATTGTCCAGATTAAAATTGACAAATTCTGTAGCAGAGTAATGCCCATTGTTAATGGAATTTTGGGTTAATCACAAATCTGCGATAATGAAATAAACTGCACATGTCATATTTTTGCTCTAGATTCCGACTGATCACGTCACGCGCCCAACTCTACTTCCAATTGTTGCATTAAATATGTTACACATGTCGTTACAGGTGTTGCGTCCTTTTCTGTTGAGAAGACTGAAATCCGAGGTGGAAAAGCAAATGCCGAAAAAGTATGAGCATATAGTGATGTGCAGATTGTCGAAGCGACAACGGTATCTGTACGACGACTATATGTCTAGGGCAAAGTACGTTTTTTGTTTTCACAATCAAGTCTTGAAACTAATCGTTCATTATTTCAGAACTAGAGAGACTTTAGCTACTGGTAACTTACTGAGTGTCATTAATGTACTTATGCAGTTACGAAAAGTTTGCAATCATCCAAACTTATTCGAAGTTCGACCGACAATTTCCCCATTCCAGTGCGAAGGTATAACATGGCATATTCCGTCTGTTGTGTACGCAGCTTTAGAATATGACGTGTGGAAGGTAAATGGTTCGTGTCGACGACTGTACGCATGCTACATTACCGTTCTTTGCAGCATATCAATTTGTATTCTATCAATTTCAATTTAATTTTAATGGAACTCTACTTAAGTGCGTATCAATGTTATAGAATGCGTCAATATCAAACGCCACGCAAATTAATCGAAGAAATAAACTCGATCGAAGATCCCCCTCCTTATTGTCCGCCTGCCAAATTGGCGATGCACGTGCATAAATTGCAACAACCCAGTGATGTTAAGGTAGATTGTAAAGACGAAGTTCCTAAACCCGGCCAAGCTATAAATACGCAAGCGAATTTAAGATTAAAAATTGCACCTCAAAGCGTACTACAATTGGTGCAACACAATCCTCTCAAAGGTAAGCTTTAGTCGGCAGTTTCTTTCTATTACCAAGCCGGAAAGTGTTTAACAATTTTTCGGTATGTCTAGAAAGAAGATTAATTGATGTTGTACAATGAAGTTGTTTATCTTGTTGACCAATTTGTTGTACTTTCAAACATTAACTCCAATTTTGTGTTACCTGTTCACTATTTTCATCTTTTTAGTGCTGGCGCATCAAACAGGCAATGGCAATCAGACCATACCAACGACAGTAAATCTTACAACAGTCTTGAAGCAGGATAAGCTTATGTTTCAGCCTGGTATAGCGCAACTAGTACAAACGTCTACCGGTAAACATATTCTATTAGCCCCCACCACTAACGCTACCATACCCAGTAACCTGATTCCTGGGTCTACGACAGGTAATTGTCTCATTGCATTGTCGACGTATAATGTACTGTCGGAATTGCAGTCGTCACCACTGGTGGCCAACGTTTAACGTTGCTACCGAAACAGGCGGTGTGTGCCGGACAGGTTACTAACATCACTAAAGGACTGCCAAAAATACAATTGATGTCTGTAAATTCTCAACCTTCTGCTGGGGTAAGCTGATGTGTTATGACTAATACTAAACTTCATAGTATCCTTCACACATTTTCGTCTCTTACACTTTTTTCACATGTTCTCACTTCCTTATGACTGCATGACACATATATTTTTTTTTCTTCGCACCTCTTTTTTGTATCGTTCGCGCCTTCTTCGCTTCTCTTCCTCTTTCACTGTTGAAGGATCATAAAAGCTCCTCAAGGCACCACACCATTAAAAGCTTGTAAAGGTTTTTTCGAGGGTTTTTTTTAAAGGTCCTTAAAAGCTCCAAAAGCATCTAGAAGATTCTTGGAAAAGCTCTTTATAGACTCTTGGAAGTTCTTAGAAACAGGTATGCACTTAAAGACAGATAAGGCTTGTAAAGAGCTAAGAGGATCTTCAAGTATTAAAATAATTAAGAACAAGTAAAAAGGTTTTCGCCCCAAAGGCAAGTACCTTCAGCGCATTTTCCATGAATGATCAGTACTTCCCAAAAGGTCATAGCTATGTGCACTGACTGCGCATGCGCACATTTATTACATATTCTTTTTTTTTATTGCCTTTATTTTATAGTGGGCGGAGTGTTAGCAATTTGCTACTCTTCCCACTCAACCCACTAAACAATCACAAACAGCCATACCTTACCTGGGATTCGAACCCAGAACCCTTGTAGCCAAAGTTAGGGCTCCTAACATAAGCTCATCTGAGCTGCACAGATCGGCTAATTTTTTGCAATAATAATAATAACAGTAGTCGTTTATTGAGTTGCTGTTTACAAGTTTATAATGGTAACTAAAAAATAATTTATGTGACAACCCAAATGGACACAGTTCAGATTGGTATGGCATCCATACCATCTGCTCTCCCACTTGACCTTTTGATATCAGTCATGTTTGCTTTTAACAGAAGCATCTGCATTTCAAGAAGATATCTCGATAAATAACAGTTGATATTGCGCATGCGCGTATTAAACTGATGTTTACAATGTGCGATACATTTGCTTACACTAAAACCAACCTTGGTTAAAATTTCAAAGAAATATCTCCATAAATAAGAAAGTTGGCATTGCGCATGCGCATATCGGATTTTTTTCTATATGTGATATGCTTGCCTTCACCAGAAATATCTGTAGTTGAAATGTCAACAAAAATATTAATAAAATAAAAATTAATCAAGTTGACATTGTGCAGTCTGCGCATGCGCAGTTTAATTGTCAATATTTTCCTTGGCTCAGGTGCTAGAGCTATATGCTACCGAATGCAAAAAGAAGGAACTTAATATCTTGAAAACTGTAGGTGTAGTTAAGGCCTTGGACAGATGGATGGACAGAGAAAGTGGCTGCAATAGCGTACCCAACTTCGTTGGAAAATGCGCTAAAAAACTCCAGATAATTCTCGATTATCAAAAGTTCTTATAAGCCTGTTAAGAGGTTCTAAAAGGCACTAGATGACCGTACATGTACTACTTTTATGTGGGATACATTCAGGCGGCTACTGTACACGTTTTAGGGTTTTGGCAGTTTCACTGGACGCACGCAGTACATTGACTTATGTGATTACACACCTGTTACAACGTTCAACTTCTCTTTTTGGTTTTACTGTATGAAACTCTGTTCCACAACCTCCAGTTCCGTGTTTCAGTAAATATTCAAATAGTTGTGGGGTGGGCCATTAGTGTGTGGGTGGAAGATTGTGGGTTTATTAACGCGCATACTTAAAATTCATTGTGGGGTAATGTTAAAGGACCGTTCAGGCTACAACCTACAAATGTTTTCAACGAAATTGCAATTGTTATACAGGGTGATTTATATCAAAGTTGCATTTTTTTAAATGGAACCATCTGTATATTACATGTTTGGATTCCTTGGTCAATTTTAGTATAACTTTATGTATTACACATGATGTTTAAAATGGGTCTTTTACCCGCAATTCGTCACTTTTTCAAAAAATAGATGTCCAGTAAAAATTGAATTTCACAGTTAACAAACTTAGAAGGCTGTGACTTTGCAGTGGTACTAACATACGCCGAACGACTCAAGTTACACTTCTTTGTGTTAAAAGAAATCACTCCGTCAATTTTCAAAATTTCAATCAACTTGATTTTTTATGGAACTACCAAGTTTTTTTTATCACATCAAATTTAGGATTTTATTACTTTTTTAACAATATAAGTATGTCGATATTTATCTTTTACATACTTTTTGTAATTCAACAATTTCTAAAAATTTAGTGTTTTTCGATTTTCAAAGCCTCTCAGCAATTAATAGGCCGTTAAAAATTATAAACAATTGGATTTATAAAAAATTTACTCCAAATAAAATAAAACAAAAACTTAAAAAAAATCAAAATAAAAAGTTTAAATAAATACAAGAGAAAGATAAATATTTAAATAAATGTTCAAGACCACACCTCTCAGGAAATTGTTGATTCAGCCATATTTCGTCTACAATGTGCACCAGGATTTTGAAGAAGAGCAAAAAAAAAGAGTACTGTAAAGTAAAGAGCACTGTTTAAAATGTTATTCAAATTCCATTTTCCCAACACAACAATCAACAACAGAATTGTAAATGCTAATAAACTAAACTGACAGATGTTATTTCATTTTATTTTGTGTTAATATTTTCTAATATGGCTTACTATTCAAGTTGATTTATTTATATAAGTTCACGCATTGGTTTAAATGCAAATTAATTATTTTATCTTTTAAAATGGGCTACGACAAACAAGAGTTTTTGTTTTGTTGGGGGGTAAATGTTGTATCATTTGAATTGGTGTTCTTAATTTTTAACGGTCTACTGACTACTGAGAGGTTTTAAAAATCGCAAAAACACTGAATTATTTAAAATTGTTCAATTACAAAAAATAGGTAAGAGATACATACCGACATGCTTATATTGTTAGAAGGGTAATAAAATTTTACATTTCATGCAATAAAAAAAACTTCGTAGTTCCATTTAAAAAAATCAAAAGAAAGAAAAAATCAAGCCTCTGATGGAAATTGTTCAATTACAAAAAATAGGTAAGAGATACATACCGACATGCTTATATTGTTAGAAGGGTAATAAAATTTTACATTTCATGCAATAAAAAAAACTTCGTAGTTCCATTTAAAAAAATCAAAAGAAAGAAAAAATCAAGCCTCTGATGGAAATTCTTTTAACACAAAAGAAGTTTAACTTTAGCTGTTCAGTGTATGTTAGTACATGTCATGATTAGTGCCACTGCAACGTCACGGCCTTCTAAGTTTTATGATCTGTGATATTCAATTTTTACAGGTCATCTACTTTTTGAAAAACCGACGAATTGCGGCTAAACTACTCATTTTAGATATCATGTGTAAATTTTAGTACATAAAGTCTCACTAAAATTGACCAAGGAATCGAAATATGTAATAATATACAGGGGGTTCCATTTAAAAAAATGCAACTATATTAATCACCCTGTATAACAATTGCAATTTCTGTGAAAATATTTTTAGGTTGTAGCCAGTGCTGGGCAGAATACTTTCAAAAAGTATTTGAATACTTTCAAAAGTATTCTAATACTATCAAAGGTATTCGAATACTTTGAAAAGTATTTCATTGACTTACTTTGAAAAGTATTCGAATACAGTAAAAAGTATTCAAATACTTGTCACTCAAATACTTTAAAAATTTAAAATAGTATACTAGATAAAAGGCTTAATACCTACTTACTACTATATACAAATTTAAGGGGAGTAAAAGCGTATTATTATTATTATTATATTATTATATAGGAGGTACCTACCAGGACCTTTCTTATACCAGTTATTTCCTTAAGAATACGTGTACCAGTTTTCACAGCGATCGTACGTCGTGCACATGATACGTACGCCTTTCTGAAATTATCCTAGCGATTTTGGAACATCCATTTTTGACCATCCGTTTGTCCGTGTGCATGATAACTTGTTTAGAAACGTGTGATCGCTTTGAAAATTGATACATATGGTCTTAAGGATATAAGAAAGGTCCCTATTGTTTTTAAGTTAAGTAGACTATCGAGTTCGGTATTCAGATGTATTTAATTTTTTGATTTTTCTTTCAAAATTGGTTTCTAGTCTATAACTTTTGATTGAGAAGTCTGATCGAAAAAGTACGAATTGTTTTGGATTCTACGCACCAAAATTAATAAGGAAAAGTGTTTTCCCGAGAAATTTTAGTGTGATCGATTTTTGGTAAAAAACGAAGGTTATACACTACCTTTTTTTGAGGCTCGCAAAAAAAATTATCTCAGATCGACCCGGAAAAAAATTTTTCTTATAGAATGTGGCCTGTAGAATCCATAATTTCAAACAGTTCCAAGATTGGGCTACTAGTCCAAAAGTTACAGCCCTTTGAATTTTCTTTCGAAATTGGTTTCTAGTCTATAACTTTTGATTGAGAAGTCTGATCGAAAAAGTAAGAATTGTTTTGGATTCTACGCACCAAAATTAATAAGAAAAAGTGTTTTCCCGAGAAATTTTGGTGCAGTCGATTTTTGGTAAAAAAGGAAGGTTATTATACACTGCCTTTTTTTGAGCCCCGAAAAAAAAATTGTCTCAGATCGACCCGGAAAAAAAATTTTCTTATAGAATGTGGCCTGCAGAATCCATAATTTCAAACAGTTCCAAGATTGGGCTACTAGTTCAAAAGTTACAGCCCTTTGAATTTTCTTTCGAAATTGGTTTCTAGTCTATAACTTTGGATTGAGAAGTCTGATCGAAAAAGTACGAATTGTTTTGGATTCTACGCACCAAAATTAATAAGAAAAAGTGGTTTCCCGAGAAATTTTGGTGTAGTCGATTTTTGGTAAAAAAGGAAGGTTATACACTGCCTTTTTTTGAGGCCCGAAAAAAAAAATTGTCTCAGATCGACCCGGAAAAAAATTTTCTTATAGAATGTGGCCTGTAGAATCCATAATTTCAAACAGTTCCAAGATTGGGCTATTAGTTCAAAAGTTACAGCCCTTTGAATTTTCTTTCGAAATTGGTTCCTAGTCTATAACTTTTGATTGAGAAGTCTGATCGAAAAAGTACGAATTGTTTTGGATTCTACGCACCAAAATTAATAAGAAAAAGTGTTTTCCCGAGAAATTTTGGAGTAGTCGATTTTTGGTATTGAAATACTATGCGAAGTATTCGAATACTTCTCAAAAGTATTCAAATACCTTGCGAAGTATTCGAATACTAATTTGTGAAAGTATTTGAGTTAAAATACAAATACTGCTTCCATAAAAGTATTTAATTACAAAGTATTTGAATACTTTAAAGGATTTGAATACTAAAAAGTATTTACAAAATCGAATACTGCCCAGCTCTGGTTGTAGCCTTAAGGGTCCTTCAACATTCCCCCTCGATGAATTTCAAATATGAGCGTTAATAAACCCACAATCGTCCACCCCCACACTAATGGCCCAGTTATCAGTGTACAAATTATGTTTTTTATTTTAGTGTTTTGCATTAGAGTATCAAAAATCGGTCCAGATTTCCCATAAGCTTTCCATTTTCTGATTTAAGATGCTAATCGAAGCAATATACAGTGCGTTCAAAGAAAGACGGTCACTTCAATATGTCTTTTATTCGGTGAGATACGAAAAATGTATCAAATACTTATAATTTTATACGTGACATTACGATCTATCCGATGGCATATTGAAACTTCTGCCATCACTTCTGGGTTGACTGGAAATCGAAGCAACTCTTGTTTTTCAATTATGCAATGCCTGTTTTTTAAGATCTTTGGAAATAGCATCAATTTGTTGTATGACAACATAAACTAGGCAATATGACTGATATACAAAAAATGATTTGTGATTCATTGGCCCGTATGAATAAAAGTAAGCAAATGCTTATACTTGCAAAATTCAAAGTAAATACTCGTAACTGCCCCTTCATACTGGTCTGTTTAGCATGGTTTAGCAGCGCCGCACTGTGTCCTGTCCTTCTGCTTAGAAGCGCTGCTAAGTCGCCCAGTGCGAAGGAGCACTTACGAGTATTTACTTTGAATTTTGCAAGTATAAGCATTTGCTTACTTTTATTCATACGGGCCAATGTTTTGAAAACATGAAATCTAGCTATTTTATTGCTTTCTTCCCACTTATTTTCTTAGACCTCTCAGATGCGTTCTTTGTGCCTCTGTGGTGCTTTCTTTATGTCCATTAGGTGATTCCATCATGCCTCTTTGGCGCGTTCTATGGACGCTCCTTCACATCTTTTCTTCGCTTTCTTAGATCCTTCTCTACGCTTCGTCTTCTTGACTCGCGTTGTTCACGACTTTTGCGTTTTTTCCACCTTTCTTTCGTACCTCTTGGCCGCAATTCTTTCACACATTTTTTTTGTGCATTCCTTATCCTTTTCTTTTTCTTGACACCTTTTGTCCTTTTGCGCTATTCACTACTCTCCCATTTCCTTCACGCCCCTTTAGTGTCTTCATGTTTCTTTTGTGCTCCATTCGCGCGCGCATCTTCTATATCTGTTTCACAAATCATTCCGCTTTTTTAATCCTCAACTAGACTATTCCAGGAGTTCACCTTACTTTGTAATTTTTTCTCGTCAGAAACCTAAAGGCGAAAATAGTAGACTGATAGCTGTCATTATTTCCTTACCATTCACTGTACCTAAGCTTCATGATTTATAAACTGTAAATTGTAGGCGCCAAACATTTCCGAGTTGAAAATGGAGGAAGAAAAGGAAACTGGAAGGAAAACCGTAGGAAATACATTTATAAATAAATTATATTCGCTTCAATCGAATAACTTGGATGTGAGATGGAAGAAACAAAAAGCTATGTCACCAAAACGGAAACACTTGGTAAACAAATCTGGGAAGTAAAACCGGATGGTTCTTAACATTTAATTTTAGATCAACGATAAAGGAGAAATTGAAATAACAGATCACCACAAAAATAAGTTGGACCTTTTAGCGACGGTTAACGAGAGGCGGTGTGGCGCCGTCCCACTGTACGGAAAAGACTTTCAGGATAGTATAAAAATTGTAAAAACTAGCGACAGCGATCCTTTGTGGTGTAGCGGTCGCTTACACTGCCTCAATGCCCTGTTCAATATGAGTACAACAGTTTCCGATTGTTTAAAGGATGTATTGTACACGCCCGAAAGACGAATACAGCAATTTAAAGAAACGTTCGATAGGTACTTTTGTTTTGGGGCGTTTCCCTTTAATTACCGCGACTTTTTAGGTTTATCTTTTATGTACCCGCGGTTCATGCTCCCGAACCTCGGCTACAAGTATGGCATCCCAATTCGCACGTTTACTGGGGCCAAAAGCGAGAGATGGACGTCCTATCTAGGTATTTCTCGAAACCCGCCACCTGTCTGCATTCGATCGCCTCTGCAATGGTTACCCAATTCCCGGATCCACGTTTAATACAGTACGACTGTGGGAAGTTGCAGACCTTAGATCGGCTATTAAGGAAGCTGAAGACTGACGGTCATCGAGTTCTCATTTTTACACAAATGACAAAAATGTTAGACGTGCTGGAGGCTTTCCTGAACTTTCACGGTCATATTTATCTGCGTCTGGATGGTTCGACTAAGGTCGACCAGAGGCAGGTTTGTATCTTATTTTATATATTCGACAGTCTCGCTTTTTAAATGATGATTTCATAGTTCAATTGAGCATTACCATGAAAAATACTTGTAGCACAGGTCTTTCGCTCCTATCTGATTTTAAACTCTTCGAAATTATGCTCGCGGAAGCTTAAGCAAGTTCATTAATCGTGGTGACTTTTAGGTACTGATGGAGAGGTTCAATAGTAACACGAGGATATTTGCGTTTATCCTTTCCACTCGCTCTGGTGGTATCGGTGTTAACTTAACAGGGGCGGACACTGTGATATTTTATGATTCGGACTGGAATCCCACAATGGATGCACAAGCTCAAGATCGTTGTCACAGGATTGGGCAAACTCGTGATGTACATATTTATAGGTAGGTGACAAATTAAGATACATAGTGACGTTTTGGGAACTTTCTTTCCAAGCTGAAAAACGGTATCAGTTTTTCAGAATTTCACAGAAAGGAGAATAGCTTGATGTTGTGCCTTACTCAATCCTTTTTGTTTTTAAAGAGTTGGTGCATACCTCAAACAATTAAACAAGTAAATTGCTACTGTTTGTATTTTATCATAAAGTTTGAACCATTAGAAAATGCAGTCCACCGTATTCTTTCGGATTAAGGAACTCACGTTATGCGGTTTGGGAATGTCTTAATGCTGACCTGCAATCTTAACGGTCAGCAAACAAACAAAAAAGAACAAGTCTTGGCATATATTGAACACACGAAAAAACTTACTGGCTATTTATAACATAAAATATAAGGAAACTTATTTGAAATATCTTTCATCTATTATGTGGTAAAAATCTTAATTTGGGTAAATTTATAACAAGAAAATTTAGGAACGTTCTCAGAATATCATCAAAATTGATACGTTACTTGAATTATACCTTGAGATCAATAGATACTGACAAATGCAGGGAATACATCGTCTGTTTTATTTATGATGCAAACGTTATAGGTTACAATTTCAATAAGATAAGCAATTTGAATGCGAGGTTGAATCCTATCTGAAAAATCTATCTTAAATTTAATACATAAATAATTTGAACGAATATTTTTAATGGTAAATTGAACTATAGTCTTTTATCTTAGTCTTATGGCGCAAGCATATAAACGATTGTTCTGAGAAACGCAAATGCAATTAAGTTCGATATTGCAAATTTTTATATACATGGTAATTCAAAAATATATACCAAACATATACTATCTCAAAAGGTGTTTATAATAATTTTGTGCAAATCGCGACATTGGTCCAATATAACTACACATACGCACGATGACATCAGCGATCCCAGAGGCGCAGGAGCGAAATTGGGGGGGGGGGGGGCAAATTTGAAATAACAACATAAAACAACAATATTGGATAATTCGAATTGATTAGCAAATAAACAAATTGAAATGCATACTATTTACAGTGAAAATTAGCACAAAATAATGTCAATATTTTTTGATAGAGAAGTTTTAAAATAATGATTTACCGTCTTTAGGTAAAGAGTAATAATACACATTCACAAGAAATTCCATTCAATTCAATTTCAAGCAGCACTACCAATAATTTTCCACAGTTAATTCAAAATAATTTACTTTTTCGCATATCCTCAGTACTGTCAGTAAATAGCCTTCTGAACAGTACCTACAAATTTCGCATTTGTAAAATATTACTTTTGGCGTGAACCGCCAGATTCACATTTACTCTGGGTTCGAGAATTAAGAAAATAATTAAAAAATTAGTTAGATGAATATTAATTTTACATTTAAATTTAAAAAGATAACTGAATGATTGGGGGGGGGGGGAATATACAATATGGGGGGCAACCTATCCAGCTAGCTCAACAAAACATAAGTAGGAAATCTTTTATACAAAGTAATTATAATTTTTCCTGGGCGTTCCATGATCAGCCACAATTACAAATCTAGATCACTGTTAATTTTATTATTAATTTGAGAAAACTCGGTAGCCGCTTCATTTTTCATTTCTGATCTGAAAAATACGTTAAAAATAAAAAGACCCATGTATCTTCAATTTTTATTTGCCATTAAAATAAACCCAAAATAAATTATTGAAAAGCTGTGTTTTTAGTCCGAATTTGAAACGCTTCAGTTTAAATACGTCATAAATCTACAACCAATCACGTAGAAGCGAGCCGGCAACCTTTTGCGAAACCCAAACTCCTACGCGAAAGTGAATGACATTCTCCTGCAATATTGCGAAGTCGTGATGTCAACTGAATGGTTCTAGCATCTGACTGGTCAGGCTTATTTCGTCACAGAGTCCGCCACAATCATCTCGTTTTGAAGAAATGATAAAGCACATTTTCATTATTTTTTTTTCTAATCGGCCACTATTTTTAAGTAAACTTTTACTGTCCAAAAAATTGTTTAATGGTTTCAGGTATACGCTTATTAAGTTAGAACTACAGAATTCAACTATACTGTAAACCCCTATTCCAAAGAATTAATAAACAAACACTTGACATCGTGGGAACTCTTTTCTAGGTCGTAATTTGGGTTCGATTAAACACACAATAGATTATTTACAGATGAAGGAAATTTATTCGGCAAAATTTATTAAATAAGACTGAAATAAAAATAGGCACGCAGGGCCAAATAACACATACCACGCAACAAGCGATCGATTGAAACAATTAATTAAGAAATCTTTATTACCTCAACGTGCTTATAATCCACAATGTACGGTTAAATGCGCAACACCAAACGATGATGTTGCTTTGAAACTTCACTTCTTTACTTTAATTATAGCACTTGAATGTCGATTTAGATAACACTGGGGTCGTTGTAATTACTGATTGAAAATTGGCTCTTTCATGATGGAAACCCTTTAATTAAAAGAAAAATAAATAAATTTACATATGATTGGAATTGTCACACCAGCAGGCGACAGTCTGGTGCAACCTTGACGTTTTGTCGGCGGTACGAACGGACTCGACCGCCACCAGAAGAATTAAAGCCTTGCATCTGGTCAAGGTCTGCTGTTTCAAAACGATCTCGGAAGTTTGGCCAAATCAAATCATTGAAATTTTATAATCTCTTACACACATCCAGCATCTGCTAGGAGATAAAATCCTAATATTGACTTAAAATTTCTCAATTTGAGAGACCTGGGGCCTATTTCATAAAGAAACTGTGCAACTTTTCACTTTACAATTGCATAATTTTAAAGTGCAAATATTATCTATTTCATAAAATATTTTAGTCAACATAGATTTTTGTGTGTTATTCATCTCTACTTTCTAACAACAGCAGCAGCAGCCTCGTTTTTTCGTTGTCTCCCGGATTTAGGGAAACGCCAGGAAGGTCCCAAACGTCCCCACTTGTTTAATATGAACCGCGCAATTTTTCGAAACACGCGCGTCTTCGTTATCAGCACCGAAACAAGTGCGTTAATTAAATTTCGCCTGATGAACACTCCTTACCGCAAAGACCAGATGTAACCTTTTATAAACACGCAAATTTGACCAGATGTGTCTTAATATGAATAAATTACAAAACGATAAAATTAAAACGAGAATACGCATTTCTAAAAGGAAAAGATTCACTGCAATACAAATTCAAATGGAACGAACTAACGCTGCGGTTATTTCGTAATTAATTGCCCAGGTTTACTTAATAAATTGAAATGAGCATGGTAGACAAGGAGTAATTGGTTTACTTTGTTTCAGGTTAGTTAGTGAAAGAACCATTGAAGAAAATATATTGAAGAAAGCCAATCAAAAGCGTCTCCTAGGCGATTTGGCGATTGAAGGCGGAAACTTCACAACCGCGTACTTCAAAAGCGTAAGCCCTTGGTCTATTATAACTCCGCGACGAGTTCTAATTTATTTCTATTCAGACTACAATTCAAGATCTATTTAACATTGATTCGAATGACGAAAGCGCAACAAGCAGAATGTCGGAGATGTTGCAAATGAGTAGGGAACGCGAAAAGCAGACCGCCGGAGAGCAACCTATACAAAACGAAGAGAAAGGTGCGATGGGCGCCCTCGAAAATGCGCTAGCCACTTGCGAAGACGACCAGGATGTTATCGCCGCGCGAACTGCTAAAGCTGAGGCTGTTGCCGACTTGGCGGAGTTTGACGAAAATATTCCTTTGGAAGATCAAGAGAAAGACAAGGAGAAAGAGCCCGAGCTGAGTAAAGCCGAGCAAGAGATGGAGAACTTGGTGAAGCAGGTTGGTTTCTGTTTTTCATTTGCACTGTCAAATCAGCTTCTTAGTGTTAAATCTAAGAAACCTTTGCAGCAGTGCTATAGTAGTGTAATGCTCGAGCTTGCTCGTACTTCATGTACGGTGCAATGTAAGCGATTACAACATCTTTTCATAGTTTTGGCATATTTTTATTCCAATTTCTTTTATTTTTGCAGTTGACTCCAGTGGAAAGATACGCAATGCGGTTCATTGAAGAAACAGAAGCAGCATGGTCCGCAGAGCAACTGGCGGCTGCCGAACGAGAGATCGATGAGCAGAAGCGGGAATGGGAACAAAACAGACTGGCAGCTTTGAAGGAAGAGGAAGAAAGGCGAGCTCGCGAGTTGGAGGAAGAAAACGACATGCTCACTTACAGCAGAGAGGACGCAACCAATCAGGTCAGCATTAAAAATAAACGATTAGGTAATCAAAAGTCCTTTAAAAAAATTAAAAGAGGTTTAAAATCGTCCCAATCGTTAAGACGTAAACTAGTTCGTAACTATAAACCAGAAGTTCTTTCCGATTCCGACAGTGACTTAAAAACGTTTAGCAAAACTGACGCCAGCGACTTTGACGACACATCTCGGACGCCCACCGAGAATTCAGATAGTACGTATAACCCAAAAGTGAACGGCGGCGTCGATTCGGACTTCAAGAGCGAAGTGGAAGAAGAATTGGAAAATTCCGACTCGAGCAATTCCGCTTCGCCTATTTTTGAGAATCATGTAGATCACAATTCGCCTCGGACAAGATCACGAGGTACTGTCGCTATAAATTTGTGGACGCTCGATGTTAGTCCCATTTTGCCAGGCGTCAGACCCGTAAAAAATGCTTCCATAAACAATAGGAGAGATCGAAAGACAAACGATAGTAATGCGGATGACGATAGTGACAGAGAAAGAAGGCGAGGAAATAGTAAAGCCCTATCAAAATTTGGTCACAAAAAATCTCCATCAAAAATGAAATCGACAAGGTCTAAAATTGATGAAAGTGAATCCGACGATAGCGATACGGTTGCTTCCGATAGTGAAACGTCGCCTACTGAGTCTGAGGTTAAACCAACCGAGTTAAGAGTAGACAAGGATATTGAGAAAAACTTAAAGTCGTGTCAGGTTATCGTTACAGATATTTTAACGTCCATAAAATATCGCACTGTAGCAAACATGTTGGATGGTGAGATACAAAATGAAACCGAATCAACCGATACTGTACCAAATTTAAGTGAAAACTCAAGTGCCAAAGAAAAGTCTGATACCGAATCCGCCAAGAAGAAAATGGCCCCGAAATGTAAGATACTCTCGAAGCCCTCGAATTGCCATAAACCGCCGAGGCGGTACAAAATTCGTCCGGATAATACGATTAAAATTAGGCGACCCGATGGAGTGATTAAAATAAGGAAAGGAAGAGCCCTTAAATTTAGAAATAAAATTTCATCCGTATCTAAATCTAAACTTTTTAAGGGTAAAGTGAGGCCTAGTAAAAATTCTACTTTGGACGATTGGATTGTGAGGTCGAATAGCTCGAATCCTAAGCCCGACGGGGACATCCGAACGGATCCTGGTGAAACTAATGACAATCCCGTAAAGGGCGATAATAATTTAAAGCGAACTGTTAACGATACTGAACCCTTAGACGGTGTAAAAAGTAATAAAATTATTAAAAGCGCGTAACGAAAGTTCGGTGGTTAGGTTTTGTAAACTTGACTAATTATTACCGATTGTGATTTCTTTTTTAATTGGACGATTCCTCTCCTCCCTGATGTATATATGTAAGTTTTTTTTCTACTGGAAAGCCAACAGAGTGTGTTATTGGAATTTGTAAATCAATTCTCAGTTTGTTAGATAATTATTTATTTAATACATAATAACTAGTTCTATTTTATTATCGCATTTACATTTCTCACTTGTCGTATATTTATTTACTATTGAACCACATCATTTACGAGTAATTGTGATTAAGTGCAAGGCGCCACCCGAACTGCACTCCTAAGGGAAGGCAGTTACGGTGACGTGCTGCTCTACGAAATATATTTTTTTTGTATCGATTTCTTACAGTAATTTTAGGTTTTTGCATGGTCATCGATTTTGTACAGTGTTTATGTATTCAGTGTACATAAACGAAACGTTTGCCTATAATGAATGTAACAGTGTAAATATAGTGTTAAGTTAATAAAGAAGTTCTCTTGCTATAGACCGTGTTTTATTGCGGGGTGGGCGTAGGTTTTGGTGCCTTCCGGCTCGGACGTCACAGCGGGCACCAAAACACTGCCCCGCTGACACGAGCAGGAGGCCTTCTTTATAACCTACGCCACCACCCCCGTAGTTTCTGTTTTGTAAAGTTTCCAGTACGGAGAAACTTTACGAAGTCTAAAACTGGGAGGTGCTTATTTGTTTTTGACGTAAGTAATTCGATAATTTACAGATTTGGGTATCGGATAACACCGAAGAATACATGCCGGTAAGTAGCATTATTTATTTTCTTGCCCGTTGACAGTTCATATCATTGCTTAATTAAACCCAAAAGTGATAAACAGCTAGAATCATGCTCAAAGTGTGTCATCTATATTGGTTCAAAATCTATGCGTATAGTGCGATAACGAGTTCAGTATTGGTCTTTTTTGAAATCAGGATGTTTTCTCTAGTAGATGACCTAAATCTTTAAAATGGCACCCATATGAAAAACAAAACGTGGTATCAATATTAAATCAAGTACAAATGATAACGAAAATTCATTTCTATCATTTAAAAGAACAGAAAAAGTTCCCTAAAGAAAGTCTTTCTAGTTTTTAAACACTTCCCCAAAAAATGATTTTAAACCCAAAAATCAAAAACGTCAAATTATGGTTTTTGATTTTATTTAGGCATAACTCGAGGATCATTTTTGTCCATTTAACAAGCTATCCATGCTAATAAGCGAGATCTCTGTACAAAATTTGATACAACCCGTATACTCGGATACTTTGTGTTGCAAGATTAAATTTAGAAAATGGTAGTTCACAGAGTACAAATATAACTGGGCAAAAAAGAGCTGACCAAGAAAAAAACCAGCCAACAAATTAATATTGAATAGCAAAATTAGTTGTCTGTAATGGCATGAATGCGTATTCGTTGTCAAGTAAATTAATATAATGTCGAATCACAGGCTCCACTGGAAATTCTAAAGAATCAATATTTCATACACATAACAAAAACAATTATTAAAACATTACAATAAATTCACATAATAGGTTTGGATATTGGATGGTCAGTACAAATCCTATTTGCACTGGTATAAAGTCTGACATATAACCAATATTCAGTCACTACATGCCAGGGATCGACTAAACGAATTGATTAGTAATACCATTGACTTTATACACTATAGACAAACGGAGAAATGGGGAAAAATGGCAGCCGCTTACTGTAGCGAATATTTGCGTTAAATAGGCAACTTATTAAACACATTTGCAATGCACGTACTAATAATGACGTCGAATGGGACGACATATGAACGCAAGCAAATTTATGACGTTTCATTCGTTTAATTTTTGATTCTGTACATTTTTGTTTGAACTACTCTTAAAGTAGTTAAGAGCGCCTAGGTAAAAGTAACAAGAAGTTGGTGAAAATTTGGTCACTTATTCTCTGAGAGACGCACTTTCTAATGGTCAAAAGAAAAAAGTGTTCCTATGTGCCGTTTCTGAGATATTTGACAGTAAAAACAGGGTATTTTAACATGGGCTCTTATGGACAGACTCAGTTTTTCTGAGCTAGCGAAGGTTTTTGTATCAAGACTTAAATGAGATGGGTCTCATTAGAAGCGAAATTTTGTGACGAATCTAAATATGCACGGAAAAGTACATGTTCATGATGAAATAAGGAAGATATTTACCGCCGGAGCGGCGTCTGATCTGACGCGGCGGCACGCTATGCAGCACGCGTTTAAATCTGATGACTTTTCCACTAGGTCTAGTATATAACTGAGCTAGGACAATCTTTTCCTTCTTCTGCTGAGCACTTTTCTTCACAAAAGGCATGGTGTCTTTCAGAAAAAACACCAAAACCAGCGATATTTATAAAGGCCTGCACACGTCTTGTTGACACACTGATCGGATCGAGATCAAGAGCGGCTGGGGATCTATGGCGCCAACATCGAAAAACCAAATCCACTACACCGACTTCACGTAAAACGCCAAATTATTTAGTTTCCCGGCTTTTACATACGTCTCGCATACGTTTTGATTAAAAATAAATATATTCGTTTAGGATTTACCGCTTACACTGTGAATTTAGTCGCGGTGTGTCGTCAACATTTAGTGTGCAAAGGTTTGAAACAGGGTCGAAAAGTAGGGAGACTAGTCAAGTTGACTACACTGTATATACCTTTTTAAAAATCATGTAAGACGTTTGCATTGTGCTGAGGTACAAAATACCACTCATACCGTATTTCTAATTATGTTTCCTTCATAACAACATTTTTTTGGGGACGTTTACCGTAAGTAATAGGTAGGCCGAGTACATCACTTGACTTCAGCCGAACGCGCTCTAACTACTTTAATAGTATTACAAAGACCATTTACAAAATTAAAGTTCTTGGCAACAATTTAACAGATATGGCCGATGCACAGCGTTTTTTTTTAATTTCAAAGAATTTCTGTAAAATGAATAGTTCGTTGGCGTCATTAAGGTTTGATGTGGTTTTCTGAAAAGCTGTTCACATCGTGTGCAATAATTAAACTTATCGATCGCAAAATAGTTCAACTCACTCTTCCAGTAATGTAACCTAGTATTGTCAATTTCAATGTCCAAGATGGAGTTTTCTAATGACGACTGAAGAAATGCAGAAGATGAACATGATGGCGATTCTGAACATTTCGTCGAAGCAAATAACACCCACTCTTTCTTGACGATAGTATATACTACCTTTTTAGTTTAATTTGTTCGAACTATGCTGAATTATATCCTGTAGTAGATTTAGATGCCGAAATCCATTCTTTTAAGGTAGATATTGCGGGCAACACGATATTTTGCCTCCAGAAATTTGTGAGTTGCCGGAGACTTGTAGTATAACTTTATGACAATCTCCTTTTCGTCTTGATGCCATGGAGGTTTAGCTTTATGCAAAATTTGCGTTCTTACTAATCCGCGCTTGTCAATGTCATTACCTGTCACTGTCACTGTGCATGCACTTGTAGGTACAATAATTATTAATGACGTAATAACAACGAGATTGGCGCTGCGACGATTTGGTGGCCCAGCTCCATACTAACACATTTCCAGCTCCATTTGTGTTGCCATTTTTTAAGCCTACACCGTTTGTCTATAGTGTGTAATAAAGTCAATGGTAATATCGACAAGATGGCTCACAAAAAAAACAGTACATAAAACATTTATATCTCTGTGTATATCAGTTCTGAACTTTAGGCAGCCTTTGCTACGTCAAATCGAGATTTTATATCAGTATCAAATATAGCACAGTAGGTATATATTCGAAATAAGTCGCCCTGCCAAATATTAATAATCATATATCACCTGGTTCAAATAAATAGGAGCATTATGTTAAGTATCACATTACAACAAAACAAAGGAACATGTGACAAAACAGTATAAAGTAATTAATGCTCAATGCCAAGTGCAATATGTAACAATCAAGCACCTAACGTACGTCACTCGCACCCTGTAAATAAACAGTAACATATTCAGGTAAAAAAGGGAAATGTGCTGCAATAAATTCAATTATAAATTAAAATGTCATTCTGCATATTTGTATTGAATATCAGTCCTAAGGGAACATACTGTATCTGCAATAGACGTAGAGATAAAAAAAGAGTACGCCACTTTTGTAATTGTCGAAGCTGCACTCACAATTCAAAATGTAAACATTACTTTTGCCCTCAACAAAAGCACAAATATCTGCCTAAATCTCTTCTTTTTAAGCAAATCCTAGACGAAAATTGTTAATTTAGGGATCATTAAGTTCCCTCGTATAGCGTCACATTTGACACTTTTATTGTAAATTATGACCCCTTTCAATGTAGAACAGAGAAGAAGAAAACACGTGTTCCACGGAAACGAAACAAAGCGCAATCTTAACTTCTTTCGTCGCGCCAGGGGCGGGTTTGGGAATATTTAAATCGAATTTTAGTGGGCAAATTCGGTTCCATTACAGTATCTACCAAAGGAAGGAAAGAGGATTCAAACTATACAAAGTGGCTGTGCAGACAATCGTTCAATGTACAGGGTGGCTACTGGGATCTCTGAAACATAAGAATGTTTCACAAATATTTAAAGCCAGTTTGATTTTACTGTATTGATGACTTTAGGGTGGAGGCGTTTAGAAACCAAGCAGGTGTGATACATGTATTTTTTTTAGAATGGTGAGCTCTTTCAAAATAGAAAAGGATTCTTAAAAATAAAGTTGATGGTCATTTGCTTTAAAAAGCAGCAAATTTCGTTGTTTTTTTTTCAATTGTATTTGGGATCACTCCGCTTCTATTGAATTGATTTCATATCGCTCGGTTTCAGAGATCACAATGGTCATCCTTGAATCTTAGGTTAACCTGCACAGTGGTTCACCATTTGGGATCTCAGCACTGGTGAGAGATACAGTGAAGGTTAATAGGGGCAAAGTTGTCCCTTTTTGTGACTAAAAAATCGAATTTGAAATTTTTGAAAATAACAGATATTACCGAAAAAGTGAAAAGTTCACCTTTTGCATTCATTTTCCCTGGCTTAAACGGTCGGAAATGGACGGTTCCTTTTAGTACTTTTTTTTCGGAGAATCTGTTATTACAATTTACATAACACGCTAGATGTAAAAACTACACGCTTATGGACGCCATATTGGATTTTTCTGGAGTGAAATACGAGGACAGTAAAAGAGAAATGATATGTGACCACTGAACTATAATCATTCTGAAACGCGCGATCCGTGAGAGAGGGCGACAAGGGGGATTTCTGTCCTACTATCGCGCATACATAGAGCAGCCTATTTGATGATTTGAATTTATATTAATGATCTGTTGCCCAATGAGTGACAGTGACAGAAATCCCCCTTGCACTATCTCCTGGGGCGCTACGTTTCTATGGCAGATACCGCCAGTTAAGTATAGTTCAGTGTGTGTGACGGTACTTTTACTTAAATTTAAGTCATAACCATATTGATTCAGCAAAATCTAGTTACCCGTGGATATTTTGACGAGAAATGAATGTTTGAAATTTTTCTTGTAAATTATGTGTGTAAAAGTGTAAAGTGTGACACGTCATTATTTTTCTTTTTTTAATCTGTCTCGTTCTGTAAAAATCCAATGTAGCTTCCACATCTAAGATCTTACAGTAATTCTGAGAGATGGGAACCGTCCATTTCGGACCGTTTAACCTAGGGAAAATGAAAATAGAAGTTGACATTTTCAGTTTTCCGTTGATATCTCGATTGTTTTCAAAAAATTAAAATGAGTCTTTTTACTCACAAAAAGAGGCAACTTTCCCCATTTAATCTACACTACCCCTCACTGTTACAGAGATCTTGATGGTTCAAAGGAATTTAGATCTCACATGTGCAATTTTGCGACGAGATGGGAATTCTTATTTAATTTGGGTTGTAAAAGGTCACACTTTGAAGAAATTCAATTGCAAACAGTGTAACTTTACGACAAAGTTGAAGTTTTGACCTTCACTGTGATTGGTCAAAACACGAGTAAGTATTACGCTGAAAAATAAAACGGCGACGAATTTTATAAGCTGTTGCGAATTAAACTGTCGAAGTGTCATTAGCGGTTAATGTCAAAGTGTGTATATGTCTTCAATATCAGTGCTGAGTGCCTGACTTGATGGAATCCGCCATGTTCTTACATTTTCTTCCTGCTTCTCAACATCCTCGTTAATCTCCTTTAATTGTGCTATTAAAATTGTGTTTGCTTCATCTTTTAACGTCTTGTTTGATTAGTCTTTGGACTTCAATAAGCGCGGGTTTTTCTTGTACAATTCCATAAATTGGTGCATATAATCTTCATGTCATACACTAAGGTTTAGCTTCGCATATGCCCTACAAATCCACCACCTCTTCAAACAACGCCTGAAACTGAACCCACCGTCAGTTTTGTGACTGTTGCCCACTGACATTCACATTTGCACAGGCAAGTTTTAGAATGCATGTATGGACCTCTTATGTGTTTTTATTACTTTTTTTTACTCTGCTATCAAGGAAAACATTTCATTACCGTAAGAACTTGGACGTAATGATAAATACACGAACATCAGGAGCTATACCGGAAGTAGAGGTCAATTTCCAAAATGCAAATGGCACAGTGGGTCAAGTTATATTTCAGGGTACGTCTTCAGTAGACATAGGGGGACACCTATGCCAGTTACATGACGCGCCAGACGGAGGTTTTAGCGCACGCTTTTGCTGTCTGCGCATGTGCCAAGTTCAACATCATTCTATTGGTCGATGGAAACAGGTTGGTTGAGCAGAAACGAGTCTGTATCAGAAAAATGTCTGTTTTAAACTCAGCTCTGTTCAGTTACTCAGAGGAACTCGGTAAAAGTTTCAGTGATATCGTTTAATTCTTGCTTGGTTTCTGGACAAATATTGTAAAGTAGTAATTTTAAATGGTCGCAATAAAAGAAATCATTTGGAGCAGGATTCGGTGAATTTGTAAGCCAATGTTCTTTGAAATTTTTGTGTGTAGCCCCTTATTCTCTTGACATAGTGAGGGGAGTTTTTTTAAATTTTATTTTTGAGTGGGCGGGGTTTCAGCCAAGGCAACCCAACCCACCGGATTCGAACCAGGGATCCTTAGCACCACAGTCCAGCTTTAACAGAACTGCGTCACATATCGGGAAATTGAAAATACATAAAGGCTATAAGTTGTAAGGAGATGCATTTGCTATAATTATTTTGTTAGCTCCTCTTTCGAGAAACTAGAGAATCGGGAATTAGCCACAAATCCGGTTATTTAATAATTCTTTGATTAAAAATTCAGAATCAATTCGAGCATGATCACCTGACACCATTTCTCAGTCGTAACTCCCTTGCCAACTTCAAAATCTCAACAGAACTAGAATTCTAACCAAAATAAACCATAGATCCTATCAATTTTTTTACTCCCTATATACACTGTGTCCAAGATAAGTATATGTATCATCGAGATCTCTGAAACCATAGAAGGTACGAAGATGGTTAAATCAAGGAAACGTTGGTCAATGAAAGAGTAATTATAGCAATGGGAAAGTGTTTTTTTATTTTTTGAATCTGGTCAAACACCAGAAAAAATAAAAACAAAATTGGTTTTTTTGGCATATCTTCGGAAGTAATCGGAATTTTCTGCTTTTCTTTACAGCATGGTAATAAGTCTTACAGTCATCCAATAGATTTGATCGTTTTCCCTAAGAACTTGGTACAGAGAAAACATTTTGACTGTTGAAAGCAATAACTTCTAATGTGACCGTAAACAGAAATTTTGCTATGGCATACACGTTGTACATTCATTTCACTATGTTGTGCGGTCTCTACTAGCTTCATAGTTGATTTATTATTTTTTTACATTTTTTATTGTGTCTTATTTAGATGTGGTGCCCTCCAACGCCTCCTCAGCAAGACACAGATGTTTACATCGATCATACGTTATCATTTTTGTATGATATAAACGTAATGTCGGAATCGCAATTGCCGCCCGTGTATATAAAAAAAGACACAAAACGATCACGACTTGATGCCGGTTTAATAGATTCGCGAAGGGCGATGAAAATTCAACGTAAGGATGACTCTGTTTATGCCCCAAAATCATTATTCGAAAGACCATCGCCTGCTTTGGTTAAAATGCGCCGCGATTTAAAACTGCAAAAGTACCGGGGCATTGTGCGACCTCCGGTTCCGATGCCTGGCGTGAAACTGTCCACATCAAAACCGGCGACTGATCAACCATGCTGGCACAATTGGACCGTCCACGAAGACATGGCGCTACTCAAAGTGATCCAATCCCTACAAGGATTGCCGCTGAATTTGATGATTCTATCTCCCGGACACACTCCTAACTGGGATTTTGTCGCCGATTATGTTAACACGGTCTCAATAACGTACCGGTCACCTAAACAATGCCGAAACCGATATGAAACCGTAATCATTCCTCGAGAAGAAGGCAAACAAATCTTTGACACCACTCCTCGGAAGAAAAAGAACAAACTTCTATACAAACTAACCGTGCAAACCAAGACAAATCGACCCATGCGAACCTCGCAGCTATACACTCAAGACAACAACTGCACTTTCTCACAATTGATGATTCAAAGATACGAGGCGCTAAAATCAATGTCGACGAAACGTACAACAACAACCAAAACGGTATTAAACAGTCCGGCGCTCAAAAACCCTAAACACACGGCGGTGCTCAACGAGTGTGGAATTGACATAGATCATCCTGTGCTTCCGGTCGAGGTGGCGGCACGACGAGCCGAAAGGCTGGCGAGAGAGAAAAAATCGATGACGCCCGAGCAGCTGGCAATGGCGCAGCGGATACAGTTGATAAAGGCGGGTCAAATGTCAGGTGGCCAGGTCACCACCATACAGACCTCGATACCGCAAATTGCGGCGGTGACTACGGCGGCGCAAACTGTCGTATCTGCGGTTTCGCAGACGCAGACGAGTTCCATTGTTTCCACTGTTACAGCAACTGTAATGTCAACGGCGATGTCAACGCCCTCTACACCGCCAGGTATGTTGTGTGTCAAAATGCGCGAAATTTACACGCGGCTCTTATGGGAAAATGAGGACGCTCTGCGTTTTATTTATTTCCTAACACGCATGTATGATCACAAAATGCCTATTTTCATTGGTGACAAAACAATAACTAAGCTTATGATTCGACAATGTATACTGTATTCATTTTAAGAAGGTACCGGTAGAAAGCATAAGGAAGCTTTAATCTTCACTGTGATTGGTTAAAACATGAGCCAGTATTACAATGAAACATCAAATGACTGGTGAATTTTGTAAGGTGGTAGTTTATGTTGCCAACTAAACTGCCGAAGTGTCATTAGCTGTTATTGTCAAAGGTTTATTTCTGTTCGCAGTGCTGAATATTTCTACTTTACAATAATTTGGTGCCGTTTTATATTTTTCCTGTGTGTGTTTATCTTCAAACACAGCGCCTTCTTATAATGAATGCAGTATAGTGTCTACTGAAATTTCATTGGCATATACGTGAAATAAATAAAATATAGGATGTTATTATTTGTCATAAGAGCACATGGACTTCGTGGGTGTGCCAGCAGGCCTCAGTCATGTTGCATAACGTGAGGGAATTGTTTTTAGGACAATTACGAACTCAGCGTATTATCGCCGCACCTATTCAAACGCCAACGGTCGTCTCAGTGTCTGGATTGAGCCCAGCTCAACTGCAAGCAGCCACACAACGGCTAATCGTATCCGGTACTCCGGCCCAGGCCAAGGCTGTTGTCGGAGCGACCGCCGCGGTTACCGGTAAACCGATCACTCCGGCCCAGTTGCAGCTTATACGACAAAGCAATTTGAAGCAACAACAATTACGTTTGCAACCTGGTAGTTTGACGGCGCAAGCTGTAAAAACCTCTAGTGTCGCTATAGGCGGACAAACAACTGTGCAAGTGCAATTTACCCAGGCACAACCACGGGCGCAGGTTTGATTTCGTGTATTTAAGATGGGCTTTTTATGTTTGCCATGCCAGGATTGAACAAATTGCAATTTAGGATTTTGATTCGATTTCCTGAGACTGGTAGCATCCTTAATTTTTTGGTTACTAAGCTTACCAAAAAGGAACTTTATTTGCTTTTTGAGCTCCATATACAAATTGTAACTAGAGCACTATTTGTAGAAGATAAAAGAGTTTGTGCCAAAATGAGACATGCATTTACCTCTAAAAATGGGCGTTTGTTAATTTTTAAATTGTAGATGGGGGTGCTATTAGATCTATGAGTAAAGTCACTAAATATAGAAAGTACCGCAATCCATTGGGCTCGTATGTTAGAGAGAGAACGCATAATTTTTGCCCAAAAACGGCGGAAGTTACCAGATTCTAGTAACTTTAATGTTAGGGAGTGTTCCACTTGTTTGGAGATATCTGTATATATTTTTATAAAACATGACAGTACTATGAAGTTAGGTTATAAAAAATTACAGCTATTCAGATTTTATTTGTCAATTTTTTTAAGTTGCCAGCAAATTTGCCCAAAAATGGCGGATGATTGCGGTACTTTCTATATCTAGTGACTTTAATCTATGACGTCAAATCAATATTTTAAATTATCACTTGTCCACCATTTATATGGCGGTAAATGTTGAACATAAAAAGTCTATCTTACATCAAAAGTGTTCTGGAATTTACTTTTAGTTTTTGAAGCACGGAACGGTTTCACTTGCGAACAAGCAGGGCTTAACACGCACCGTTACCGAGGCGGAGATGGCTCAAATAATTAAAAGGCAGCAACAGATTCAACAACAGAAAGTGCTAGCGGCGGCTGCGGCCGGTGGGGCGCAACCCACCACCGTCCAAAACTTAGCGCCTCAAGTCTACGCGCAAACAATTCAGCAGGCGGGCACATCCGGCACACAAGTCGCTACGCTCGTTAAGACCGTCTCAAGTGCTGGAGGTAGTACAGAAGTTGGCATTTGTTGTCGGGACTAATTTCGATTTACTTTGATAGTTACGCAAACCGTTACAATTCCCGTTACCGGCGTAACTATTGGAGGAGCACCTGTAAAGGCTACCTTAGCGCCAGGAATCAAGACCACAACTCCGCCTCAAATTCGTCACTTGCAATTACAACAGCAGTTGTTGGCCCAAAAGAAACTAATGAACCAAAAAATTGGAATTACTCAGGTAACCACGACGAAAGGGGGTGTCGCAACGCAACTCATTGTAGGGTCAAAGCCCATTCAAACGGCTATGACAATGCAGCAACTTCAACAAGTTATGCGTACACCACTAACCGGAGTAGCACAGGGTTCGATGGTACTAGCCAAAGGTTCATCGCGAGTCATTCCTGTCAACACAGGGCAAGGGGGTAAACAGACAATTCAGGTGAGTTTTTGATTTTTTGTGCTTTGTAATACCAAATTGGTTAGATGGTGGCGGCTTCGCAAGGGCTGACCACGACAATCCGTCCGCAAACATCATCGGCGTTGGCTGGAGCCTTGGCCGGCATAAAAGTTCAGGGCGCCACCGCTCAAACTCAACAGGCCCTACTGACGCACGTATCTGCACTACAAGGCCAAAACGTGGCAGTCCGCCAAAATAGTCCCGTTCGTATTCAAACCGCGAGCGGTACGCCGCTCGTCGCAGTAACAGTACAGAGTCCCAACATTCAGCAGGGAAGTTCGACGCCTACAGCCAATACAGACATACCTGAGCAAGTGAGTAGATTTTTAAAGAAATAAGGTTATGTTACACATTCATTCCGATATTAATGTTAGTATTAACCGATTTTATCAATAAGTAGTATCGTAGACCCAATTAAGTTGTTTTCTGTGATTTCGTTTAGCATTTTTTTTCTTTTTGTTTAATTTTGTAGATGCTTTGTGTCGAAAAGGTGTTGAGGTTATTTATATATTTTGGTTTTGTATGATTATAATATTAATTTAATATTAAACCGATATAATGTATTTGTGCGTTTTATTTTTTGCTTGGAACTTGGTGCATGTTGTTACTAAACCTGTTTGACATATTAAATTATTTGACATTTTACAGCCCAACTAAAATGTGTAAATAGGAGGGAGAGACCACGACCGAATGTATTATTTGTAAATAAAAGATTATATAACAGTTATCAAGTTGTTTCATTCATTTTTGGACTTAATGGTTAGCGTTTTTCAGATTATACTATACCCACATGACAATATTGCGCAACATTTTCGTTTAAGGTTCTGCATACGCCAGTTATGACAAGTGAGTCCGCTTAGATGTCGCTACTTTTAAAATATAAATACGAATAATTATAGCTCCACCCATTTGTCCCATTCTCAAAGGCAGATATTTACTGCACAGATATTTCAACGTGAACGAAATTAATTATTGGATGTGTATTGCGTAACGCACGAATATTAAAGAAGCTAAAAAAGCATATGTTTTTAGTGGCATTGGTATAAATTAAGATAAAATTCGCTATTCCTCTGAAAATAAACAAATTTTTCGCTATAGTTGATTTCTTGCTAACTACGGCAATTTTACATATGTCTGTTCCTTCGTTTTAGATTAACCATCCTTGCGATCGTTTATAAATTATAATTTTATATTGCTACCTGTCTGTCCGTGTGCGCGATAACTTTGTTTAGAAACGTCCGACCGCTTTGAAAATTGGTTAGGTTCCTGTGGATAACAAAAAGGTTGTTATCGTTTTTCAGGCACGTAGGAGACCAGATCAAAGAGTTGTAGTTCCAAAACTGCACACACCTCCAACAAAAAGGTTTTTTTTTAAATAATACTTGGTAGATACAACATATGAAGCTCCTTATCTTACCTTTTTACGTTTAAATTTCTCATCAAACATGATTTATTGGAATTGACACTTTACAACTTTTTACCATTTTTTACAAACCACCAAAATTAAAAGACAACTAAGTACACAAGAAGTAAGTAACCGATATAAAACAATAAATGATTGCACATTCAGTAACTAAAGAAGGTATTCGTTGCGTGATGCAAGTTTCTTGATAAGTATCTGAATTTTATGTATAATAACAATGCGCAGGTAAAACGCCACTTTTAAAAGTAACGAAACGATTTATAAAAGGCGCATTTCCACGTTAGCAGTCTTTTTTGCGAAAGAAATAGTTACCCACCAGCCCAATTGGTTTTTAGTTTCGGGAAAATCCGCCCACATTTTGAAACAAAATGCACCAAGAACAACAAAGGAGAGGAATGTCCTAATACAAAAATTACAAGACCAATCTAAATTGCAGATAATGAAAAAAATATAATTTAGCACATCTTGCCGCCCCCCGAAAGTGGCGCCGTGGGCTATAGTCCAGTTAGTCCATTTAATAGGTATCCTCGTTTTCCATCTCATTTATGCCAAAAGTGTAAAATTATGGTACCTACATGAAAAAAATGATTTACATTATGACTTTTTAGTAATAAACGTAGGAAAATTCCTTCCTTGGTGCAAGTCTCCATACCATAACGACCCAAATATCGAAAAAAGTAGAACTTAAGATAAGCATATAGTAGCGATACAGCCGTAAGGACAGACAGACAGACGGGCGAGCGGACAGACTGGCGAACAAAGTGGTCAGATATTTTTGTATTTTTACGGAAATGCGCTAAAAAAAGGCGGTCCCTAGTTTTACAACAACGTGCCTAATCAACAATTGTAAATTGTTAGATTACATTACAGCCAACACAGTGTTGAATTACTCCATAAGCATGAGGAAAAGATTTGTTCTATAAGTCTATTTATTTGTGTTGGATGAAAGTATATACCCATAGGTACAGATTTTAGTCTGTGCCATAGGTATAATCATAATTAATCACACTGCATTATCTATTGATAATGTGAGATCCCCGACCTTTGCTTGGGTGTACAATGTACATGAAGCTCAATAAGCCTAAAATAGTATTGGAAAAGCGTGCGAATACTACGAAATGGTGTTGGAAAACACTTGATGCCTGTGTTAGTCGGTCCCGAAGACTAACACAGCTCATTTAGCCTCGCCCCAAAAGTGTCTAGACGGCATTGGAAAATATTTGAAACACAAGTGCTTCTCAGGGTCTGCGAAGCCCTTATCGAAAAAGCATTTCTTGTCCAGAGATTTGTAGCATTTTTCTGATCATCTACGTAAGGTCAACGCGTGTGCATGATCCGCCACTGAGGCCATCGCGGTTGTTATTGTAAAATGTTCCACGGGCAAAGCTGGGCAGTATTCGATTTTGTAAATACTTTTTAGCATTCAAATCCTTTAAAGTATTCAAATACTTTGTAGGTACTTAAATACTTACTTTTATGGAAGCAGTATTTGTATTTGTAACTCAAATAATTTCACAAATATTTAGTAATCGAATACTTCGCAAAGTATTTGGGGTCGATCTGAGACAATTTTTTCTTCGGGCCTCAAAATAAGGCAGAGTATAACCTTCCTTTTTTAAATTATGGATTCTACAGGCCACATTCTATAAGAAAAATTTCTTTCCGGGTCGATCTGAGACAATTTTTTTTTCGGGGCTCAAAAAAAGGCAGTGTATAACCTTCCTTTTTTACCAAAAATCGACTACACCAAAATTTCTCGGGAAAACACTGTTTCTTATTAATTTGGGTGCGTAGAATCCAAATCAATTCGTACTTTTTCGATCAGACTTCTCAATGAAAAGTTATAGACTAGAAACCAATTTGGAAAAAAAATTCAAAGGGCTGTAACTTTTGAACTAGTAGCCCAATCTTGGAACTGTTTGAAGTTATCGATTCTGTAGGTCACATTCTATAAGAAAATATTTTTTCCGGGTCGATCTGAAACAATTTTTTTTTGGGGCTCAAAAAAAGGCGGTGTATAACCTTCCATTTTTACCAAAAATCGACTACACCAACATTTCCGGGAAAACACTTTTTCTTATTAATTTGGGTGCGTAGAATCCAAATCAATTCGTACTTTTTCGATCAGACTTCTCAATGAAACCAATTTGGAAAAAAAATTCAAAGGGCTGTAACTTTTGAACTAGTAGCCCAATCCTGGAACTGTTTGAAGTTATCGATTCTACAGGCCACATTCTATAAGAAAATATTTTTTCCGGGTCGATCTGAGACAATTTTTTTTGGGGGGCTCAAAAAAAGACAGTGTATACCCTTCCTTTTTTACCAAAAATCGACTACACCAAAATTTCTCGGGAAAACACTTTTTCTTATTAATTTGGGTGCGTAGAATCCAAATCAATTCGTTCTTTTTCGATCAGACTTCTCAATCAAAAGTTATAGACTAGAAACCAATTTCGAAAGAAAATTCAAAGGGCTGTAACTTTTGAACTAGTAGCCCAATCTTGGAACTGTTTGAAATTATGGATTCTACAGGCCACATTCTATAAGAAAATTTTTTTCCGGGTCGATCTGAGACAATTTTTTTTTCGGGCCTCAAAAAAAGGCAATGTATAACCTTCCTTTTTTACCAAAAATCGACTACACCAAAATTTCTCGGGAAAACACTTTTTCTTATTAATTTTGGTGCGTAGAATCCAAAACAATTCGTACTTTTTCGATTAAACTTCTCAATCAAAAGTTATAGACTAGAAACCAATTTCGAAAAAAAATTCAAAGGGCTGTAACTTTTGATCTAGTAACCCAATCTTCAAACTGTTTGAAATTAGGATTCTACAGGCCACATTCTATAAGAAAATTATTTTCCGGATCGATCTGAGACAATTTTTTTTTTGGGGGCCCAAAAAAAGGCAGTGTAATACCTTCCTTTTTTACCAAAAATCGACTGCACCAAAATTTCTCGGGAAAACACTTTTTCTTATTAATTTTGGTGCGTAGAATCCAAAACAATTCGTACTTTTTCGATCAGACTTCTCAATCAAAAGTTATAGACTAGAAACCAATTTCGAAAGAAAATTCAAAGGGCTGTAACTTTTGAACTAGTAGCCCAATCTTGGAACTGTTTGAAATTATGGATTCTACAGGCCACATTCTATAAGAAAATTTTTTTCCGGGTCGATCTGAGACAATTTTTTTTTCGGGGCTCAAAAAAAGGCAGTGTATAACCTTCCTTTTTTACCAAAAATCGACTACACCAAAATTTCTCGGAAAAACACTTTTTCTTATTAATTTTGGTGCGTAGAATCCAAAAAATTCGTACTTTTTCGATCAGACTTCTCAATCAAAAGTTATAGACTAGAAACCAATTTCGAAAGAAAATTCAAAGGGCTGTAACTTTTGAACTAGTAGCCCAATCTTGGAACTGTTTGAAATTATGGATTCTACAGGCCACATTCTATAAGAAAATTTTTTTTCCGGGTCGATCTGAGACAATTTTTTCTTCGGGCCTCAAAAAAAGGCAGTGTATACACTTCCTTTTTTGCCAAAAATCGACTGCACCAAAATTTCTCGGGAAAAGACTTTTTCTTATTAATTTTGGTGCGTAGAATCCAAAACAATTCGTACTTTTTCGATCAGACTTCTCAATCAAAAGTTATAGACTAGAAACCAATGTCGAAAAAAAATTCAAAGGGCTGTAACTTTTGAACTAATAGTCCAATCTTGGAACTGTTTGAAATTATGGATTCTAAAGGCCACATTCTATAAGAAAATTTTTTTCCGGGTCGATCTGAGACACTTTTTTTTTTGGGCCTCAAAAAAAGGCAGTGTATAACCTTCCTTTTTTACCAAAAATCGACTACACCAAAATTTCTCGGGAAAACACTTTTTCTTATTAATTTTGGTGCGTAGAATCCAAAACAATTCGTACTTTTTCGATCAGACTTCTCAATCAAAAGTTATAGACTAGAAACCAATTTCGAAAGAAAATTCAAAGGGCTGTAACTTTTGAACTGTAGCCCAATCTTGGAACTGTTTGAAATTATGGATTCTACAGGCCACATTCTATAAGAAAATTTTTTTTCCGGGTCGATCTGAGACAATTTTTTTTCGGGCTCAAAAAAAGGCAGTGTAAACCTTCCTTTTTTACCAAAAATCGACTGCACCAAAATTTCTCGGGAAAACACTTTTTCTTATTAATTTTGGTGCGTAGAATCAAAAACAATTCGTACTTTTTCGATCAGACTTCTCAATCAAAAGTTATGGACCAATGTCGAAAAAAAATTCAAAGGGCTGTAACTTTTGAACTTGTAGCCCAATGTTGGAACTGTTTGAAATTATGGATTTTACAGGCCACATTCTATAAGAAAATGTTTAGGAATATAAAAAGAGCTAACCCCATACAAAGTATAACTTGATTTTTTAAGTAGTATTAAGACTTTTATCTAGTATACTATTTTAAATTTTTAATGTATTTGAGTATTTGAATACTTTTTACTGTATTCGAATACTTTCAAAAGTATTCGAATACATTCTAAAGTATTTGAATACTTATTTTTTTAAGTATTCGAATACTTTTCAATGTATCTGTATCTAGTATTCGCTTGTGCTGGACGTAAAAGTATTTAGTATTCAAATACCTTTGATTTGTGTAAAGTATTTACTATTTAGTATTCAAATACTTTTTGAAAGTATTCTGCCCAGCTCTGTCCACGGGCTGCCCTTTTGTCTTTGTGTTTGCTGCCTGAAATGTGAAATAATGTAAAATGGAAGCGTTCTAATTTTGATGTTATATTTTAAACGGTTTGAGCGTGACGAGAACTTTGGCTCCATCTTAATCAGCGACCCTGTATAATCAATAATCATCAAAGCTAAAGTGATAAATAACGAAATTTGAGTTACGTATAAAGTGTTATAAGTGTACGTGTTATACATGTAGGTACAAGCGTTGTATTTATTAAATACAATGGTACAAGTAAGTGGTCATAAATTGATCAAACTGCGATAATTAATTTAGTATAAATAAATCACATAATTAAATTTACGTTACAATATTGCCCTTGTTTTTGTTTGACCAAAAGCAATTACAAATACGGGCCTGAAATGATACAGTTCTTTAGAGTACATTTTACCATTGTTTAAATTTAAATACTTTTATCGTTACAAAACGGCGGTAAAAACTCGGATCATTTCAAATTGGAAACTCTGTAATAAAACACCATCGCATAACCACAGATGGCGCACGTGTCGCAATTGACTGCATTTGTTTTGGCATATTTTTGTTGGGGTTACTGTGTGAAAACAGAAGTCAGTGCTGTTTCGGCGGTGTTGGTGAAAGCAGTTGTTTTTCTTAAATAAAACTATCGTTATTACTACGTTAACTATCGTTTCGATCGAAAAACATTTCAGTGCGGTATTAGATAAGGGCAATAAACCGAGCGGTGGATCGGTTGCTTTTCAGTCAGCAATAAAAAGGTGAGCTAACCTAAAATTTCTTAACGATGTTATTTTGTAATATTATTTAAATTTTTGGTCGGGAGTTTCGTAGATTTACATGTAAAACTACCAATTAAAAATTCGCCTTTAAAAAAGCGAAAGTTTGTTTGTATGGGAAGAAGGTTGCGATTGTTATTGCATTGACTCGGAAATTTCTCACGGTTTGTTATCGACGAAAATGTTGCAAAAAAGATCTAGTTCGGTTAATGTTAACTGGATGATATTAACGCATAGGTACGTATCTTGTCGAAGAGGTGATTTATCATACTCAAATTAATTTAACATTAATTTGTGGAACGTGCCACATTTATGATTATGATTGATTGATAAAGTTCGTGTGTTTTATGTACGGATCGTTTTCACAACCAGAATGAGATGAGTGTGCTAATGCCCAGATGGATTGGCGGTGTCGCCAATTTTTCTTAATACCTGCACTTGGCTTTCGCTCACACTTGTTTAACAGGGTAAATGTTTAAAGCATTCACAAACAATTGACCTTTGAAAAACGCACCCTGTACGGTGGTTAGAAATTTCAGGGAACACGCGTCTTAAAGCCATCTCCAGCTGAGCGATGAAAATTCTAGAAAGTGTACCTAACGTAACTTTAATTACCTGTTTTATTTAATTTATTTAATTTATTTAGTACTTATTAATTATTAATGAATTTGTAAGTATTTGCACAAATTTATAACAGGTAAGTTTTATCACATACGAACGCGAACTACACTAATTATCACTTCGGCATGCACGTTGGAACTTCCATTAAACACGCCTTCCTAGAAAAAATCACGCAACGTTGTCGAAGAGCCCATCCACTGTCCTTTCTTATCGCCGATGACTAATCTTTGATGGACTTGATCGCGCCTCGGTGCTCGCCTCGATGTCTGGGATACTTTTCAGAGCTAAGGCATGCTGTATATTTGTCTGTAACAAATTTTCCTTTTAATAAATTGTATCAGGATTACAGAAACCCAAGGAGTGAAATTTATCACCAAATATCTTCCCGAGTATGGTATTCTTCTTTCAAATAATAATAAATAAAATATAGTGTAAAGTAGTTTCGAGTGTTTCCCGTTACAAATTTTTCTTTTAAAACTTGTATCAGGATCACAGAAACGTAAGAAAAAAAAATTATTTTTTTTTTGTATCAAGATCACAGAAACCCTCGCAGAAACCTAAGGACTGAAATTGATCACCTAAAATTTCCCGTGTATGATCTCCGAGATTTCGCGTGTATACTTTCTTTTTACAAATGTTTCCTTTCAGAAGTTGTATTAGGATCACCATGGAGTACAATTTATCACCAAACATCTTCTTATGTAGGATGTACTCCTGATACTCATAATATCAAATAGAACATATTTCAAGGCTGTTTTGGTGTAGGCATATTTTTTTATTACAAATGTGTGCTTCAGAAATTGTATCAGGGCCACAGAAATACCAGGAGTCATATTTATCACTAAGTACATTCTCGTGTATGATATTATCCTTATACAAGTCGGTAATAATAAATAAATTACATTTACAGGCAGCTTCTCGCGTATTACCAATATTCTCCTGTTACAAATTTTTCTTTTAGAACTTGTATCAGGATCACAGAAACGTAAGAAGTTGTAAGCTTTATTAATTTTTTTATCAAGATCACAGAAACCTAAGGACTGAAATTGATCACCAAATATTTTCCTGTGTATCGTGTTCTCCTATACAAATAATAATAAATAAAATATATTAAAAGGCATCTTACAACTTTTTGTTTCAGAAATTGTATCAGGATCACAGAAACCAATATAGTAATATTTATAATCAAATATCTTCCCGTCTATGATGTTCTCCTGATTCTCGTAATAATAAATTAAACACATTTACGAGCAGCTTCTCTCGTATTATATTCTCCCGCTACAAATTTTTCTTTTAAAAATTGATGTAGGTCTCAGGATCACAGAATTGCAAGAAGGTGTAATATTTATTCATAGGCATCTTCTCACACTTTATATTTTTCTGAAACAATTTTTCATTTTAAACATTTTCTGAAACCGAAGGACTGAAATTGATCATCAAATATTTTCCCGTGTATAATTTATTTATTTATTTATTGTCCCTCTCAATAGGCCTGTGCCTAATTACAGAGTGACAATGCTTTTTAGAGGTGCCCCTGCAGAATGTCTTAAGCTGTTCTATACTATTCCGGTATTTACCCTACGAATTAGGAAAACTGTAGGACAACCTCGAAGTAGGCGGCAGAACCTACGGAAATTCCCATCTCTGCCACAGATGATGTTCTCCTATTATAAATAATAATAAATAAAATATATTTTAAGGTAGTTTCATTTGTACATTTTCTTTTTACAAATGTTTCATTTCAGAATTTGTACTAGGATCACAGAAACCCTTGGAGTAAAATTTATCACCAAACATCTTCTCATGTATGATGTACTCCTGATACTCATAATATCAAATAGAACATATTTCAAGGCGGTTTCTCGTGTAGGCATATTTTCGTTTTACAAATTTTTGCTGCAGAAATGGTATCAGGATCACCGAAACCCAGGAAGTAATATTTATCACCAAATATCTTCCCGTGTATCATTATCCTTATACAAGTAATAATAAATAAATTACATTTAGAGGCAGCTTCTCGCATATTACCTACATTCTCCTGTTACAAACTTTTCTTTTAAAACTTGTACAAATAATAAATGAAATATATTTTAAAGTAGTTTAGCGTGTTTTTCGTTACACTTTTTTCATTTAAAACTTGTATCGATCACATAAACGCAAGAAGTTATAAAATTTATTCATTTTTTTTGTATCAGGATCACAGAAACCCAAAGACTGAAATTGATCACCAAATATTTTCCCGTGTGTGATGTTCTCCTGTTACAAATAATAATAAATAAAATATATTTAAAGGCATCTTACAAATTTTTGTTTTAGAAATTGTATCAGGATCACAGAAACCCATTTATAACCAAATAATGAATTAAATACCCACATTTACAGGCAGCTTCTCCCGTTACAAATTTTTCTTTTAAAAATTGATGTACCAGGATCACAGAATCGGAAGGAGGTGTAGTATTTATTCATAGACAGATTCTCGCGCCTTATGTTTTTTTGTAACAATTTTTCATTCTAAACATTTTTTTTTGTATCAAGATCACATAAATCTAAGGACTGACATTTATTTATTGCCCCTCGTATTCTGGGCTCTCAACAGGCCTGTGCCCAATTACAGAGTGACCCACACAATGCTGTTTAGAGGTGCCCCTGCAGAAGGTATTAAGTTTTTGTATACTATTCTGAGTAGTCGGCAGAATGCTCGAAACTGATCTCCGGAAATTCCCATCTCCGCCACAGATGATGTTCTCCTATTATAAATAATAATAAATAAAATATATTTTAAGGCAGTTTCGTTTGTACATTTTCTTTTTACAAATGTTTGCTTTCAGAAATTGTATTAGGATCACAGAAACCCGCAGAAACCCTTGGAGTAAAATTTATCACTAAACATCTTCTCATGTATGATGTACTCCTGATACTTATAATATCAAATAGAACATATTTCAAGGCGGTTTTTCGTGTAAGCATATTTTCTTATTATAAATGTGTGCTTCAGAAATTGTATCAGGATCACAGAAACCCAAGGAGTCATATTTATTACTAAATATCTACCTTTCCGTGTATGACATCATCCTTATACAAGAAATAGTAAATAAATTACATTTTCGGACAGCTTCTCGCGTACCTATTACCACTGAATTTATATTACCTTATTCTCCTGTTACAAATTTTTCTTTTAAAACTTGTATCAGGATCACAGAAACGCAAGAAGTTGTAAACTTTATTAATTTTTTGTATCAAGATCACAGAAACCTCAGGACTGTAATTGATCCTGTGCATGATGTTCTCCTATTACAAACAATAATAAATAAAATATGTTTAAGAGCATTTTCTCGACAGATTATATTTTCTGTTTGCGAAACAGAAATTGCATCAGGATCAAAGAAATCCAAGGGGTAAAATTGATCATTAAATATCTTCCCGTGTATGATGTTCTCCTGATACAAGTAATAATACATTTACAGACACTTGGTAAATTAAAAAGTAATTGGAGATACAGACCATGCGAGATTGCAAAAAGGAGATTCAACTCCTGACAGTATTCGTAAAAAACCGAAGGAATGATACAACACAAAACAAAATATGCTTAAAGAGTCGCCAAAATTGTATTTCATTTTTAATTTTTTTCTTAAGAACCATAACACGTATTAAGAAGGTCGAAGAAAGAGATTAGCGCGGGAGTGAGAAAACAGGAGGCATTACTCTAATAGGAAGTTTAATTTTAATTGTCTCTGAAAGTTACCAACAAAATTTCCTCGAAGTTATCTTCTCTTATTTCCTCGCTGTTTCCTACAAATTGCTTCAACCCCAAAATCTCATTACACTACCTCCAGAATTTCCTTTAATCTTCCCAGTTTCTGAAAATGTCCGTATATTACATATATAGGTACCGAAATTTCAATTTTCGATTTTTCCTTTTATTTCGAAAACGACAAAAAGTGGACGTCAATAAAGCACTTTTTTATGAGGAATCCAAATATGTTACCGAAAAATTCAAGGGACTCTAGATTTGGAAGTTACAGTAGATAACTTTTTTATTTCTTATGGCAGCCATATTGGATTTTAGCATTTTTTAATAAAGCTCGTTTTTCTGATTACAATAATGTATCATATGAACACTTTAAGATTCTGTCAGAATATGGAAAAACGGTTTCTGCGATGAGTGCATGATCGCATATTACGGTTTTTCAGTGTTATATGAACATATTTTGATTATCTTGGTTTTAAATGTCATTTTACATATCTGAGATGGCAGTGTACTTTTTGGTTTTGGGAAAATTTTATGGTTATACAGACTGTGTAAGGCCTCGTGGTTTTCTGATGCGCCAAACTGGGTATAAATATCAGCCCCACGTTGGGCG